AGGGAGTTCCTGTGGAGCCCTTCTCTCCTTATACCAGGCTGTGAGGTCATGAGAGCAGAAACATCAAACATTTAACGCTCCATATTTTCTTCTTCTTCTGTGTTTTATTTGAAGTGTTGATCCATCAGAAGATATAAAAACCATCTCAGTGTAGTTTTACATCTCCTCTCTCAGGCTTCTCTCTGGAGCTCTAGTAACAACAGGTCGGTGAGCCAATCAGAAGAGAGGAGGCTCAGAGCCTCTCACACTGGATGCGTGGCGTCTGCGTCACGGCAGCTGAACGTCTTGCTTTTCATTTCGGCGTCCATGTTAACGGGAAAGCCTCGCAGCTTTGTCACATGTAGAGATTCAATCTCTTGTCTGTTTCTCACGTGACGCGTCTCCCAGCAGAAACACAGAAAAGACCTGATGATGTCATAGTGACATCACACCAGCAACGTCACCTTCTATGTATAGGCTGAATCTGAATATGACACAGACATGAAAAAATATAAATATATTTTTTAGCCATTGTAGCAGCTGCATGTGAAGAAAAAAATATATGAGAAATTAATTTATAATGAAAAGAAATCCAACATTCAGTAACTGTAAACTCTGTCTGACTGTTTTCTGAGTGATCCAATAAAAATATAGCAGATTTCAGGTAAAAACACTCAGAGAAACCAAATCCTGCAAGTTTTAGATGGTGGGTCCAGGTGGGCGGGGCTTGGTGACTGCTTTGTTGTGACATCACAAAGTTCCAGAAGTCCTGACGGCTGGTTTTAAGGCTCAGTTTCTGAATACAGGCTGTGTGCATTTCTCTGTGGACTGAGGCTTTGATACTTTCACAGTATTAATATAGAAGCTAGAGCTGATCTATAATCACACTACACATGGACACAGACCTTTTATATGGGAAAGTTAATTATTTTTATTAAGTAAAAATAACACCCAAGAAATGAATGGAGTGAATGTGAAAAGATGTTGATGTGTGTCTGCTGCAGGAAAATGTTGAAATGATGCATTTATCTTTTATATTTGAAAATGTTCTACTTTCTTATGAAGAAAACAACCAGTAATAGTAACGTGCAGTGATATGTAATGAAAGCTACAGTAGATATGATATATCTGTATATGTTGTTATCATGATATGTGCCTTTCTGTGACTGTCACCCCAGTGCTGCCAACCCTGTTTTAACCTCTCCTTTGCCAGACGGCTCAGTTTAATGTGGAACATTTCTCAGGGATGCACAACTGGTACGCCTGCTCCCACGCACGGCCCACCTTTTGCAACGTCTGTAAAGATAGCTTGTCTGGGGTCACGTCTCATGGCCTCTCTTGTGAAGGTACGTAACACACACACACACACACACACACACACACACACACACCCCAAACACAACACGACACATTTACTGTCTAACACACGTGTTTTCTCATGTAACGGCCTTTAATCCACGGTGTTGCTGACCTTTTTTGAAGGTGTTTATGACTATGTTGAGTAAGTGGATCGTGAGTCATTGCAGTGAGAAAGTTCTTTGTTCGGACGGCTGTCCAAGAGGAGCAGGCTGGGTACGCCGGAGCCAGCGTGAGTCTTTGAAACGCTCTGAGTTTTGTTTCAGCGCGGCACCAATCAAGCCGTTAGCTTCAAGTAGAGGGAGCGAGAAGAGCTGGTGGCGAACCGCCATTTAACGCCGCACAGGCACGGGCATGATGGACGTGTGTTAGCTAGACCGTTTGGATTTTATTTTAGTGTTTCTTCTTGCTGTGAGTGACGCCACATCTCCTCACCTCGCCCGTGAGGGAGCAGTGAAGTCGGGGTGTTAAGGCGAAAAGGGGGTTGATGCTATTTTTTGCTTTCTTTGAGCTGGAGTGTCAGTGACAGGCAGCAGACCTTAATGAGCACCATCTGCATATCCTCTCCTTCTAATTTTGCTAATGTTTCGCCCGGGAGAGTGTGTGTGTGTGTGTGTGTGTGTGTGTGTGTGTGTGTGTGTGTGTGTGTGTGTGTGTGTGTGTGTGTGAAGGCAGTGAGAGCCTCTCCACTCAGTGCTCATTACCCTCCACAATGAGACCCTCTCATATCCAGAGCAGGAGGCTAAACAAAGGGACTCACACCCTCTTTACACCAATGATCAGGTGTGATGCAGCCAGTTGGATTTACCACATTGTGTTGTCAGGTTATGGGATTGCAGGTTAAATCAAGACACACACAATTTTTCAGGCTTATTTAGAAGACTGATCTGCATGAATTAGTGCGGAGGAGAATTAGCCACATGTGCTGTTAGCCGCCGTGCTAACGAAAACAGATGTGTGACGTCTCATCCTCAGGTTGTGGCTCCTGTCGGTGTCGGAGCCTCGGTGTGAGACGCTTCCATCCGTGATTGTTGTTTTTAAAACTTATGTCAGAGCTGCAGCTTCGCTCTCAGAGGAAGGTTTGTGCTGGACAGGTGACAGGTGTGTCGTCAGTGTCTCTGAATGACGTCACAGCAGGAAAAGGGCGGTGTTGTGTTTACATGAATGCTGATCGGAGCTGGAGCCGATAAGTACCTGTTGTGACCCGGGTGTGAATGCTGATTTTTCCCTTTTCAGATAAGATCAGATAATCCTTTATTCAGTCCCTCCAGAATGTCGCGGTGTCGCAATGATTAACTCAAATTCAACCAATCCCCTGTGAGTTCTGCGCGATCTCATCAAAGTTTCCCTCCAGGTGAAGCTCACAGACCGGTCCCAAACCCTCGTCCCACACAGCAGCAAAGTGCCAGTAACAAATTCTGAGAAAGATAAATGATAGATAATAATATGATACGTACAGTTTGATATTTCCAAAAATGTACAAAATAGCAGAGTATGAAGTTTTCCACTGTCCTGAGAGAACCAGTAACAGGAAGACACAGCTGAGATCGCAGCTTCATCAAAACATGGGGTCAACGTGACAGAGGCCGCAAGGTTTTTCTTTCACTGACACACAGCTGTTGTGTTTAATATAGATCTATAGATCCACGGTGAGCACAGGAGTCTCTCAGTACAATCCAATAGGAGCAGAGTGATGCCAAGAGTGTGTGAGGAGGGAGGAGGGAGGGAGGAGAGAGGGGTGAGAGTGTCTCTATTAAACGTCGAGAGCAGCCAGCCAAACAGTTTCACAGCAATCAACACGGCTTAAATTTCCCTTCGATTTCCTGAGCAGGACGCTCGGCGGGGATTGATTCACGCTACCTAGCCACACACACACACACACACACACACACACACACACACAATGTTCTCCTCCAGTCTGGTCTGGTGTGGCCTGGCCATCAACAGACAGTGGTATCATGTCCTCTGGATTCTCTTAATGTTCTGCTAATGCGCTCTAACAGCATTTAGTGGGAGACGAGATTGAAACATCGATTGTTGCTCCCGGATATGACTTTGACTTGATTTGTATATCTTGTGTAGATTGCCTCATGACAACAGTGTTTGTGTGTGTGTGTGTGTGTGTGTGTGTGTGTGTGGGTAAGGGTGGGGTGGCTAAGAAGCAAAGTTCCCCAGAGTGCAGACATTATTCATGAGTTCACTAAGTGGCTCGTCTGTAATGGAGGACGAGGCGGGGGCGTCTCCGTCTTCATCAGAAACACTCACATTTAAATTCCTCATTCACGGTCACCTGCAGTAAACACATTAAAGCCCAACGCATGACGAGCTCCACGTGCACAGACCGAAGCCTGAGGGATTTATATAAGACGACCATCATCTTACTGTTCTTCACTTTGAAGGAAAAGTTCAACGTTTTAGGAAGAATGTTTATTAGTGGACAAGAGTCAGATGAGAGGATTGACAGCACCATGAAGCTAGGAGCTAGGTTAGCTTAGCTTAGCATAAAGAGTGGAAGCAGAGGGAAACTGCTAGCCTGGTTCATAACAGACGCAGTGTCTGTTAGAAACCGGGGTTGAGCTCTGCGTGAAACGCAGCTCGCCTTCATGTCAGTCTGTCAGCACAGGGAGGAAGGAAAAACACACAGCATCATCATCATCATCATCATCATCATCATCATCATCATCATCATCATCATCATCATCATCATCATCATCATCATCATCACGTGGTCGGCTCTGTCCTCAGCTGCTGACGTGCTAATGATCACCTGACGCAGGTATCCAGCTTCACACAGAGCTGTGTAGACGTGTCAGTGCAGCAGGTTATTTTCAACGTGGAGCTGGACCCGTCTGGTTCCTGTGTGGTCCAGTTGCAGGGTTCAGGTCTGAGTTAGTCTTCCTGTTGCTGTGATGTGGAGCAAAGTCCTCGTCTGTCAGACACGTATGTGCAGCACAGGATCAGGGAAGTTAGTAATTACGCCCACTGACATCTCATTAGGGCTGGATTCATTAAAGCTCTGTACTTACAGGGGCGTGTCCGTCCCTGAATCATCCGTCAGTGTCAGAATCAGTGAAATTCTGCATTTTACATTCATTTTATGCAGAATTAGCTTTTTAAACTGACGTCTGACACGTCTGTGCATTGACCGCAGGTCACAGCCCTGTTCAGCTCTGATTTACAGAGAAGCTGCTGAGGTTTACAGGTGGAGAACGTCAGACTGACGGAGGTGTGTGCTGAACGCTTGTGTTTTTCAGTGTGTAAATTCAAAGCCCACAAACGCTGTGCCGTCAGAGCCACCAACAACTGTAAGTGGACCACCCTGGCCTCCATAGGGAAGGACATCATTGAGGATGAGGACGGGGTAAGTTTCACGTTAACAGTCTTTCCTTTATGACAGATCTTCAGGAACTGTGGAGGAACTCTTGCTTTCTGACATTTGATGGTTGATTTTCTGGGGGAATACTGAAGTGTTTTCATTGTATTGTGGTAAATTTGCTTATTTTAAAGAGTGAATATTGATGCAGAGCTTCAGCTTCCAGCCACTAAATCCTTTTCACGTACAGTTCATGGACTCATTGCTCTGAGAGAGAAGAGACACTGTGTGTTTGAACTGTGTGTGTGTGTGTGTTGAACCTACAGATTGCGATGCCTCACCAGTGGTTGGAAGGCAACCTGCCCGTCAGTGCCAAGTGTGCTGTGTGTGATAAGACGTGTGGCAGCGTGCTCAGACTGCAGGACTGGCGCTGCCTCTGGTGTAAAGCTATGGTGAGGCTTCTGTCACTGAAACATGAAGTTTAAAATGTTTGAACAGAATCTGAAGAAACTTTAAAGAGGATTAAAATCATCACACAAGAAGCTGGTGGAACGTCTCCTGGTGCAGATCACTTCCTGTCCCTCCATCAGTTTTCTATTATAGACTTACAGCCTGTACACAAATATAATATATTGAATCTCCATATATAAAATATATGTACATGTAAAATATGAAAGGCCATCATAGATATTTTTAATATATGTACATATACAAACCACTGAGTATTTCATATATGTTATAAACTTATATCTTCATAGATCCAGAGGATGTCTGTATGTCTGTAATAATAATAATAATAAACTTTATTTCACCTTTCATACAAGAAACGCAGCACAAAGTGCTTCACATGAGTAAAAGACATGAGTGTAAAATGAGATGAAATAAAGAAGAGAATAATAAATCATGTGATAAGAGGTTTAGAAGAAGTGCAGAGCAACGTGCAGAATGTCAGAGTTAAAGTTAAAGATAAGTGAGTGTCAGTGAGCTGCTGATGTCTACAGATGCTGCGCTCCACAGCTTTGGGCTTTAACCTTATAGACATACAGTATATGGTGACATCACGCCTGATATATGGTGACATCACGCCTTATATATGGTGACATCACGCCTGATATAGAGACACATATGGTCATATATCACATTTCTTTCTGTCTCACATATTCAAGACCTAATCAGTTATTTTACAGTGTTTCTGTCTGTATTTCCCAGTGTGTAAGTGTGTGTGTAAGTGTGTGTGTAAATGTGTGTAAGTGTGTGTGTAAGTGTGTGTAAGTGTGTCTGGAGTGTAGTTTGTTTGTGGATGTGTAGATTTTGTCTTTTTATATTTGCAGTCCTTTTCTCTGTTATAAAGAGTCGATCACTTTTTAAATGTTATTTTTATTCTTATTTTTCACAGGGACACTTTACGTCCTCGAACATAACCAGAAGTTATATTAACCATTAAAACAACAGCCAATCAGACAGCTGACAGCTGTTGTGTATTAATGTGAGAGAAAATAATAAAAACCACGTGGTGAATGATCATGTTTGTTTGCTGCTGTTCCTCCAGGTGCACACAGCCTGCATGGACCTGTACCCTCGCAAGTGTCCTCTGGGTCAGTGCAAAGTCTCCATCATTCCCCCTACAGCGCTCAACAGCATCGACTCAGACGGTAGGCACCACACACACACACACACAATCACCTGTGCAATCAGGCTGACTCACTCAGAGGGTCAGAGGTCGATGTCAGACGGCCCCTATGAGCAATCGCCACATTTCAGAGGTGAATAAATGAGATTTCACCCCATTTGGTCGGGCAATGTCTTCTCTCTGAACTTTGACCTTCCGCTCCTTCACGTGGAGGAGACGGCAGCGGGGGAGGGAGGGATGATTCACTCTCGGTTTGATGGAGGCGACGAGGTCCCGTTCAGACACATCGCACACACACACAGCCGTCCAGAAGTCTGAGACCAGGTTTCTCATTCTCACAAACAGCTGGAGCGTGTGGCGGGAAACAGAACGACAGACAGTGTCATTATTTCCCCTCAGGGTAATTGATCTCAGCATCAGATCCGCACTCCGTTATCAGCTTCCTGCTAGTCATAAGTGGTATTAGACAGGGACAGGGCAGCTGCTCCAGGAAACCGGCTGTTTCTTGTGAAGCCAGGTGGTTTAAAAATAGCCTCATCTGACAGGTCGGTACACACCTCCGCTTTAAATAGAGCTGCAATCAAGACGTGTGTGTGAGGAGAATTATAATTAGACGGCTCCCGGCTCGCTGTCAAAGTGAGTGCACAGACACCACCGAAGAAGAAGAGCTCTGCAGAAAGATACGAAGAACCTCAAGGCTCACTGTTCAACATTGTGTGTGTGTTTGTGTGTGTGTTTGTGTGTGTGTGTGTGTGTGTGTGTGTGTGTTTGTGTGTGTGTTTGTGTGTGTGTTTGTGTGTGTGTGTGTGTGTGTGTGTTTGCCAGAGCCCACATTAAACTCATTCTAGATGGAGATCAGCACCTGCAAGACAGATTCAGATAAGCATGTGTGATTGTATTACTGTTGCTGAAACCACACATACACACACACACACACACACACACACACACACACACACATACAGTCAGTGAGTCTGTGAAAAGCTGGCATCGGCTAATTGGTAGATGGATGAGAGAGAGGGAGGGAGGGAGGATGGGGAATCCAGATTAATGGAGGATAAGACAAAAACAGAAAAAAGGAATAAAGGAAAATAAAAGATCTCCCTCTCTCTGTCTCTCTCTCTCTCTCTCTCTCTCTCTCTCTCTCTCTCTCTCTCCACCTCCTCACGTGCCAGTACCCCCTCTGCCCAATTGCAGGCTGGGAAGAGTTTGGTTGTTATTGGCTGGGGGGCAGAGTGGAGCACGTGCTGGAGCGTCGTGACTCCCCCTCCCCTCCTTTCCTGTCCTCTCTCCTTCTCTTCCACTCTCCCTCGCTCCATCCATCCTTCACTGACAACATCACGGGGGGGGGGGGGAAATCAAAGAGAGCAGACAGAGATTAGAGGGAAGAAGTGAAGGAGGATGAAGAGGAGGGTGGAGGCTCGAACATGAGACGGTGTTTGTGGAAGAACAGAAACGTCTTGTTGCTCGTCTACAGAGTTTGTGTTGATGCTCAACTGCGCAGAGAGACGAGTATGTCATGTGTTTGTCTTCTGGTTGTCGATTGCTCGTTGATTGTTTGTCATTTTTTTCTTGTGTTTGTCGTTTGTATGTCGTGTGTTCATTGTTTGCATGTCGTGTGTTTGTTGTTTGTCGTCTGTTTGTCGTTTGTCATTTGTTTGTCGTATTCGTCATTTGTTTGTCGTGTTTTTTTGTTTGTCGTTTGTTGTGTTTGTCGTTTGTTGTGTTTGTCGTTTGTTTGTCGTTTGTCGTGTTTGGCGTTTGTTTGTCGTGTTTGGCGTTTTTTTGTCGTTTGTTTGTCATTTGTTTATCAGGTTTATCATTTGTTTTTTGTTTGTCGTTTGCTTTTTGTTTGTTGTGTTTGTCTTTTGTCTGTCGTGTGTTTGTCATTTGTTTGTCATTTGTTCGTCGTGTTTGTTGTTTGTATGTCGTGTGTTCGTTGTTTGTATGTCGTGTATTTGTGTGTCGTGTTTGTCGTTTGTTTGTCGTTTGTTTATCGGGTTTGTCATTTGTTTTTTGTTTAACATTTGTCTGTCGTGTGTTTGTCATTTGTTTGTTGTATTTGTTGTGTGTTTGTTGTGTGTTTGTTGTGTGTTTGTTTCCATTTGTCGTTTGTTTGTCGTTTGTTGTGTGTTTGTTGTCTGTTGTTTGTTTCCATTTGTCGTTTGTTTGTCGTTTGTTGTGTGTTTGTTGTCTGTTGTTTGTTTCCATTTGTCGTTTGTTTGTCGTTTGTTGTGTGTTTGTTGTCTGTTGTTTGTTTCCATTTGTCGTTTGTTTGTCGTTTGTTGTGTTTGCCGTTTGTCGTGTTTGGTGTTTGTTTGTCGTGTTTGTTGTTTTTTTGTCATTTGTCGTTTGTTTGTCATTTGTTTATCGGGTTTGTCATTTGTTTTTTGTTTGTCGTGTTTGTCGTTTGTCTGTCATGTGTTTGTCATTTGTTTGTCGTGTTTGTTGTTTGTTTGTCGTGTGTTTGTTGTTTGTCGTTTGTTTCCATTTGTCGTTTGTTGTGTTTGTTGTTTGTAATTTGTTTGTCATTTGTTTTTTGTTTGTCGTGTTTGACGTTTTTTGTTTGTCGTGTTTGTCATGTATTTGTTGTGAATAGAATACATGTACACAAACATGATGATAGCACTGGGTGAAAATGGGACACTTGAGAAGCTTGTGAACAGGATACAGTCACTGCATGTACAAAATACAACTTCAGCCACAAAATACTTAAATCCTACAACCTTAAAAAGAAAAACATCAGTCCATCATTTATCAGTCTCATAGGGGAGACACACACAATCAGCAATAAATGGTAGATAGAAAATAACAGCAAAAATAATAATTAACAATAAATATAATAGCTGTACAGTAACCAGTTGTGAAGACCCCAGCCTTTCAGGGTTTAGACAAGTTTAAACATATTTGACGTTTTCACAGTGTTATCAGGTTCATTCACACCTGTTGACCACAGCACACCTCACTACAAGTTTATGTCATTTATCTTCAACACAACTTTACACATGACAGACGTTACATTCAGAACTTCAAGAAACTGTGACAGTGTTAAAGAGGGTCAGTGGGGGCGCTTACTGTGACCATGATCTTACACTTTTCGCTTGAAGCATTAACCAGGTGTTTTGTTGCTGTTGCTGTGTATCCTCAGGATTCTGGAAAGCCACCTGTCCCCCCTCCTGTGCCAGTCCGCTCCTGGTTTTTGTCAATTCCAAAAGCGGAGACAACCAGGGAGTGAAGTTCCTACGACGCTTCAAGCAGCTCCTGAACCCGGCTCAGGTCTTTGACCTGGTCAACGGCGGGCCGCACCTCGGGTGAGTGTCGATGTGTCCAGATGCAGACACATAAAAAACATCCATAAATAAGCTTTTTATGTCGTTGTGGAAATCTGAAGTGTGCGTGTGTTTGTGTGTTTTCAGTCTGCGCCTGTTTCAAAAGTTCGACAACTTCCGGATCCTGGTGTGCGGGGGGGACGGCAGCGTGGGCTGGGTCCTGTCAGAGATCGACAAACTCAACCTACACAAACAGGTAAGACACAGTGTGACAGACGAGGAGGGACGTCAACAGCTGTCATGAACAAAATGAAGCTGCACAGAGAGAGAATGATGTGTGTGTGGTCATGGTCGTCTTAAAGACACACACCTATTATACACACACCAGCAGTCACACACACACACACACACACACACGCTGCCAGCCTCTATTCCCTGATGCCAAATAAACCCTCTGCTCGTGTTTCAGTGCCAGCTGGGGGTGTTGCCGTTGGGAACGGGCAACGACCTGGCGCGGGTGCTGGGCTGGGGCCCGTCATGTGACGACGACACCCAGCTGCCCCAGATCCTGGAGAAGTTAGAGCGGGCGAGCACCAAGATGCTGGACCGCTGGAGCATCATGACCTACGAGATCAAGATCCCGCCCAAACACAGCTGCCCCACCACGCCTGAGGGAGCCGACGACTGCCAGGTATTCGGAGGAGCTGACAGACATTCACATGCTTCAGTAGACACAGTGAAACCCAGCAGGGCCTCCAGACAGACAGGGCAGAGTGGAAGGAGCTGAGCGCTCGCTGGAAACACTGTGACATTTTCAATTCAGGTTCAGCTGAGGTTCAAAAGTCGACAGAGGAAGAGACATTTCTACTGAATAAGACATCCTCATTCTCTACTTAATAAAAATCTGCTGCATTTTAAGTACTGATGAGAAAAATGGCAGAAGATTTACTTGTAGTTGTTTTATAACGGTAATAAACAAACATTTAATGTCTTTTTTAATGTATTTTCTCTCCAGTTTCATATTTCTGCCTATGAAGACTCAGTAGCTGCTCACCTCACGAAGATCCTCAACTCTGAGCAGCACTCTGTGGTCATCTCCTCTGCCAAGTGAGTGACGTGACGTGACGTGACGTGGCATGACGACATGACCCCAAAGAGACACAAAATCACCAACTACAGACATTTTTTAACACGTGTGGGTTTCATTTGTATATTTCAGAAACTCCTTTTCTTTTATATAAAGGATAAAATGACAAAATAAGCAACAAACAGCTGCAGACAAATTATTCAAAAATAAAAATAAAAACACAGTAAGAAATATGAAAAATAAGAAGATATAAAAACCATCTCAGTGTAGTTTTACATCTCTTCTCTCAGCCTTCTCTCTGAGATTCTGAGTGGAGGAGGGATACGACCACAAGGAGGAGGATCTAGTCCTTGTCAGTGAACTGTGATGTTTCCCTCCTCTCTCTCAGGATCCTGTGTGAAACAGTGAAGGATTTCGTTGCCAAAGTGGGGAAAGCCTATGAAAAAAGCTCAGAGAATGCAGAGGAGTGTGACACCATGTCTCTCAAAGTAAGCCTCACAAACAAAGTTGTTAACACCCATCATCCCTGTAAATGACATTTCTGCTAATTAGCTGCCTCCACTCTGCACCGCCCCACCCAGTGTGCCATCCTGAACGAGAAACTGGACTCCCTCCTTCAGACCCTCAACACAGAGTGCCAGGCTCTGCCTCCGCTCCCCCACTCCACCCCTCCCATCGTAGAGGAGGAGGAGGAGGACGAGGAGGAGGAGGGGGAGGAGGAGGCCAGCGAGGAGAGCCTGACGGAGCTGAAGGAGAAGCTGGAGGAGGAGGAGACGGAGAAAGGAGGAGGAGGGTCCCCGCACCAGCTGTTCAAGAGCAGGGAGCAGCTGATGCTGAGGGCCAACAGTCTGAAGAAGGCAGTGAGGCAGATCATAGAGCAGGCGGAGAGAGGTGAACACACACTGAACACACACTGAACACACACTGAACTCAAACGCTGAACACAAGCACTGAACACAAATGCTGAAAACACGCTGAACACACGCTGAACACAAACGCTGAACACACGCTGAACACATGCTGAACACACACTGAACACACGCTGAACACAAACGCTGAACACACGCTGAACACTGAACACAAACGCTGAACACACACTGAACACAAACGCTGAACACAAACGCTGAACACACGCTGAACATAAACGCTGAACACAAACGCTGAACACAAACGCTGAACACACACTGAACACACACTGAACACACACTAAACACACACTGAACACACGCTGAACACACGCTGAACACAAACGCTGAACACAAGCACTGAACACAAATGCTGAACACACGCTGAACACACACTGAACACAAACGCTGAACACACTGAACACAAACGCTGAACACAAGCGCTGAACACAAGCACTGAACACAAATGCTGAACACACACTGAACACATGCTGAACACAAACGCTGAACACACGCTGAACACAAACGCTGAACACACACTGAACACACACTGAACACACACTGAACACACACTAAACACACACTGAACACACGCTGAACAAACGCTGAACACAAACGCTGAACACAAACGCTGAACACACGCTGAACACAAACGCTGAACACACCGAACACACGCTGAACACACACTAAACACACGCTGAACACAAACGCTGAACACAAGCACTGAACACAAATGCTGAACACAAATGCTGAACACACGCTGAACACAAACGCTGAACACAAACGCTGAACACACACTGAACACACGCTGAACACTGAACACAAATGCTGAACACACACTGAACACACGCTGAACACAAACGCTGAACACTGAACACAAACGCTGAACACACACTGAACACACACTGAACATAAACGCTGAACACAAACGCTGAACACTGAACACAAACGCTGAACACACACTGACACAAACGCTGAACACACACTGAACACAAACGCTGAACACAAACGCTGAACACATGCTGAACACAAACACTGAACACACACTGAACACACACTGAACACTGAACACACGCTGAGCACAAACTGAACACACACTGCACACACTGAACACACACTGAACACACACTGAACACACGCTGAACAGACGCTACACACGCTGAACACACACTGAACACACACTGCACACACTGAACACACACTGAACACACACTGAACACTGAACACACGCTGAACACACACTGAACACACTGAACACAAACTGAACAGATGCTACACACGCTGAACACACACTGAACACACACTGCACACACACTGCACACACTGAACACACACTGAACAGATGCTACACACGCTGAACACACACTGAACACACACTGAACACACACTGCACACACTGAACACACACTGAACACACATTGAACACACACTGAACAGACGCTACACACGCTACACATGCTGAACACACGCTGAACACACACTGAAAACACGCTTAACACACACTGAACACACGCGAAACACACTGAACACATGCTGAACACACACTGAACACTCACTGAACAGACGCTACACACGCTACACATGCTGAACACACACTGAACACACACTGCACACACTGAACACACACTGAACACACACTGAACACACACTGAACACACACTGCACACACTGAACACGCGCTGAACACACACTGAACAGATGCTACACACGCTACACATGCCGAACACACGCTGAACACACACTGAAAACACGCTGAACACACACTGAACATACACTGAACACACCCTGAACACACACTGAACACACTGAACACATGCTACACATGCTACACATGCTGAACACACGCTGAACACACGCTGAACACACACTGAACGCTGAACACACTGAACATACTGAACACACACTGAACGCTGAACACACACTGAACACACACTGAACACACACTGAACACACTGAACACACTGAACACCCAGCTGACCCACAGTCTCACTGTCTGTTCCGCCAGACAAACACACACCTGACTGTCCTCTCCTCCCCCGTCTCCTCCCTGCAGTGGTGGACGAGCAGAATGCCCACACGGACGACACCGAGCTGCCGTCCCCCCTCGAGTTCAGGAAGGACAGCGAGGAGGAGAACAGGGACAGCGAGAAGGACGAGGACACCAAGGAACTGGAAGCAGTGCCCTGTAAGTCCAGCTCTGTGTCAGACCTCTGACCTGGTCCTGCTCCAAGTCTGAGACCAGGGCCCGGTTTCACAAAAACCTTTAAGTTAAAGGGATAGTTTGGGTTTCTTATGTGCTCTACCAGGTGAGCCACTGAGGAGCCCCTTAGTGTTATACTTAAGGAATCACTTAAAGTCAGTTCAGACCTTAGAGACCAAACTAAGGATAAAAACTGAAGGTTCCTGTGATTGTATCTTAACAACATGTCTGAGTTCATGGTGATAAATGAAGAGGTTGAAAATTACGACAAGAGTTTGAACCTGATGGAGCGTCAATGAGAGGAAGTGATTTCTCTCTATAGATCTGATCGGCATCAGTCTGTGATTGGATCTGATCACTCCTCTTCAGCGCCTCTACAGTTAATGACGCTCTGTGGTTTGATGCTTCGGGATCTTTCCAGTCGATTATCGCTCAAGTATTTCATGTCGATCGATCAGCTGTGTGAGGGTCAGACGCTCTGACCGTCTGCTGAACACTGGGCTGAGGTTTCCATGACAACAACAGGAGGAGGGAGAGAGAGCGCCGCACTTCTTTAATGTTCTTCTTTTAAGACATTTTTTTTACTTCTGGCAACTTTGTTCACAGGTAGCGCTAATGTTAGCAAACTAACGGTCTCCATGGAAACTGTAGAATTTTACTGCTGTAAAATCTCTTTTGTTGCTGCAAATACCTTAACAAAGGAAACCCTTTAAGAGGTTCTGTACAACAACCTTCAGTAACTCCCTCAGCTAAGGAGAAAGTATGTGTTCAGCGTCAGACTTAAGAAGGAAACTTAAGGGGTTTTGGGCAGCTGGCCTCTGGATCCTACTTGATGCATTTCCATCCGGCGCCTTGTAACTTGTCCTGTTTCCTGTTTGAGTCCCCATGCTTCCACTCTGCCAACTGTCATTTATTAATTAGTGGTTGAAACCTATTTTGAATTTGACTTTACTTTTCTCTGCTGACAGTGGAGAACATGAAAAGAGACAAAGATGGAGGAAGATTATTCTTCTCTGTGAAGTGAATAGGAAATCACACAGGATTTAAATGTCACCACCTTGTGGACATCACGCTCTCTGCAGCTCAGAGAACCAGACACACAGCTAATGGAAAAAAAAAAAAGTGCTGCTGACGCAAATGATGTTTCCTGTCATAAATAAACTGAAGGATTAGTGGTAAAAGTGCGTGGAGAAGCCCGTCTCTCCTGTGATGTTCCACCTCTCGCCCCGGGCCGAGCTGTTTATCTCTCCGCTCTGTGGCAACGGAAAACTTCTTTAATAATAAATGATGGTACCTGTGGAAACTGTGGCGGCGGGGGCCACTGTAAAGTCTGTTTATGTGCATCTGTACGTGTGGCGGCTTTGTATGTAGATGCACATGTGTGTTACTGTGTGAATGTGCCTCTACAGGAGTGTGTGTGTGTGTGTGTGTGTGTGGGTGTGTGTGTGTGTGTGTGTGCTGGCCACAGGATGTGTTATTGTCTTAGGGGCAGAAGTTCTTCCTGTTTATCATGGAGCTGCTTCCTTCCTTCCACACATTTTTCAGCCGTTGGCGGCATCAGTCAAACCCTCTGCTTTGTGTCCTCTCCTTGTTTCCTCTCGTTGCCTCCTTACTCCTTCCTGACCTGGACACAAATCAGAAAACACTCGACGTGAACACAAGAGACTGTGACTTGTGGTTTGGTCAAATCCTAATGTTTCTGTGAATGTCAGTGTCACATGATGTCGACTCTCTCACATTCAAACATTCAGAAGATGTCGTTGTGGATGAATCTGAAGACAAGAGAAGCTACACATAACAGTGTGTGTGTGTGTGTGTGTGTGTGTGTGTGTGTGTGTGTGTGTGTGTGTGTGTGTGTGTCCAGCTGCAAAGAGTCCGTGTTCTCCAACAGAGAGGAGGGTGAGTCGCAGCACTCAGTCCTACGGCTCCTTCACCATCACCCCGTTCACCACCAGCAAGGAGAACCTCCCCGTGCTCAACACACGCATCATCTGCCCTGGTACACACACACACACATACACACACACACACGCACATACACACACACACACACACACTCACACACATACACACACACAAACACACACACACACACATACACATACACCACATACACACAACACAGCACAAACACACCACACCACACACCACACACAAACCACACGAACACGCAACATACAATAACACACACACACACACACACACACACACACACACACATACACAGACGATAAGTTTTATATGTTAAAATGTCCATACAGCGCAAAGACATTTCAACTCAGCTCTGTTTGTGTGTGCGTGTGCGTGTGCATGTGTGTGTGTGTGTGTGTGCGTGTGTGTGTGCGTGTGTGTGTGCAGGCTTGCGGGCAGGTCTGGCTGCCTCCATCGCTGGCAGCTCCATCATTAGCAAGATGCTGCTGGCGAACATCGACCCCTTCGGAGCCACGCCTTTCATCGACCCCGACCTGGACTCACTGTGAGAGACACATCTGTCTGTCTCTACACATCTGTCTGTCTCTACATCTGTCTGTCTCTCCACATCTGTCTGTCTCTACATCTGTCTGTCTCTCCACATCTGTCTGTCTCTACATCTGTCTGTCTCTACAATCTGTCATTCTCTAAGTCCACATCTTGTTCTGATCTTCTTACATCTGTCTTGTCGCTCACATCTGTCGCAACTTATTATGTTCTGTCTGTCTCTACATCCTGTCTCCCATCTGTCTGCTACATCTTTGTCTCAGTCTGCTTTCACATCTGTCTGTCTCCATGTCTCTCTCTCTGTCTTCACATCTGTCTGTCCTCCTGCTACAATCTGTCTGTCTCTCCTTTCTTTACATCTGTCTGTCCTCTACACAATCCTGTCTATCTCTACATTCTGTCTGTCTCTCCAACATCTGTCTGTCCTCTCATCTGTTCCTGTCTCTCCACATCTGTCTGTCCTCTACATCTTGTCTTTTTCTCTCACATCTGTCTGTCTCTACACCTGTCTCTCCTCACATCTGTCCTGTTCTAATCTGTCTGTCTCTACACATCTGTCTATCTCTACATCTGTCTGTCTCTCCACATCTGTCTGTCTCTACATCTGTCTCTACATCTGTCTTCTCTCTACATCTGTCCTTTCTCTACACATCTGTCTGTCTCTACATCTGTCTCTACATCTGTCTGTCTCTACATCTGTCTCTCTGTTTATCTTTGATGTGTGAGTTTGTGAGCCACTGACTCTGTGTGTGTGTGGTGTTGGTGTGTGTGTGGTGTGTGTGTGTGTGTGTGTGTGTGTGTGTGGTTGTTGCGCACAGAGAGGGCTACATGGAGAAGTGTGTGATGAACAACTACTTTGGAATCGGCCTTGATGCTAAAATCTCCCTGGAGTTCAACAACAAGCGAGAGGAGCATCCGGAGAAATGCAGGTGAGAAGAATAATCCAACACACCAACGTATGAATATGTTGTTAATAGAATCTAACGACATGAGTGTGATGGTGTAAAGTGAGAGAGAGGAGGAGGTGTCTGATTCTCTGGTACCTGAACACATCCTGTGCTCCCTCTCAGGAGTCGGACCAAGAACATGATGTGGTACGGTGTTCTGGGCACGAAGGAGCTTCTGCAGAGAACCTACAAGAACCTGGAGCAGAAGGTCCAGCTGGAGGTGAGACAGCTGAGCGTGACGGTTCAAAAGGTTTAATGAGCTGAGACACCTGAGTGGGTCTGAAAGACAGCTGAAGCCTGGAGCAGCGGCTGCGTCCACACCACGACGCTTTCGCTTCAGAAACTCTGCTGGTCCTGTGTTAGGCGGAAAACTCCGGGGTTGGGTTTTTACTTCAGGTCCAGAAGTAACAATTAAAGTTTAAGCAATTTAAAAGTTCATTAAAATACCATTTTTTCCATCTTGTACAAAATTATTTTCAATAAAGCTTCATTTTTAGGAAGTTATAATGAAATGAAAGGGACACTGGTGTGAGACAGAGTTTTATATATATATATTGGGCTTCTGAGCTCTGACTGGTTCTTTCTCGTGGTTCCCAGTGTGACGGTCAGTACATCCCCCTGCCCAGCCTCCAGGGCATCGCTGTCTTAAACATTCCCAGCTACGCAGGCGGGACCAACTTCTGGGGCGGCACCAAGGAGGACGACGTGAGTACATGTACCATCCTCCAGATGTTCACCCCCCCCCCTTCTCTCTCTCTCTCTCTCTCTCTCTCTCACTGGGAAGACAACCTGGATCCTGGTTTAACATGACCCTGACAGCCTGGAGGTGGAGCGGTGGTTACAGAGATGTTTGTCCTTGTTTGTTTAAGGCTCCGAGCACAAGGGCTGCTGAGGGATTAGAGTGTCAGTTTACACACACACACACACACACACACACACACACACGCGTCCCTGCAGAGGTTACCCTTGGACACACACATACAGTATGTGCATTTGGTGTTATGTAACTGTTTTGCTGGAGAGGAGGAAACAGAAACAGGGAGAGGACATTTAGTTAAACTTAGTCATCATGCGCGCACACACACACACACACACACACACAGACACACACACAGACACACGCACACACACACAGACACACACACAGACACACACACACACAGACACACACACAGACACACGCACACACACACAGACACACACACACACACACACAGACACACACACAGACACACACACACACACACACAGACACACACACACACACACACACACACACACACACACACAGACGTACATTACAATCATAAGTTGTCTCCTGGTTTCATCTGCTGTGGTTTCCCTCTAGTGGCCGCAGCCCTGAACAACAACACGGAGCCTCTCTGACCTTTTCATGGGCAGTTTCCTGAGCACAGATCAATACCGGACTCTTTGTGGGAGCTTCTTCTTTCAGAAACGATGCATTTCTCATTCAGGCTCCGGATGAACTGAGCTGGCCGGGAGGGAAATGTCTCCTCTGAGGGACAGAGATGTGCGCTCACAAATCCTCCCTGTCACAGTTACATTAAAGGCTGGTTTTAAGGCTCAGTTTCTGAATACAGGCTGTGTGCATTTCTCTGTGGACTGAGGCTTTGATACTTTCACAGTATTAATATAGAAGCTAGAGCTGATCTATAATCACACTACACATGGACACAGACCTTTACACTGGAGGAGCTTTCATGAACTTCTTCAGTAGAAACTGATGCTTCCTGACTGTGATCTTTGTGCAGATCTTCTGCGCTCCGTCCTTTGACGATAAGATCCTGGAAGTCGTGGCTGTGTTTGGGAGTATGCAGATGGCCGTGTCCAGAGTCATCAAACTGCAACACCACCGCATAGCACAGGTGAGGACACACACTAAGAACAATACACAAGTGAAAGTACACACGTGAGGAATATGTGTAGCTGATGTTTGTTTCTTTGGCTGAACTAGTGTCGAACAGTGAAGATTACCATCCTGGGAGATGAGGGCGTTCCCATTCAGGTGGACGGTGAGGCCTGGATCCAGCCGCCGGGAGTCATCAAGATCCAGCACAAGAACCGGGCTCAGATGCTCACCAGAGACCGGGTGAGACTCAGAGAGGGAGGGGGTGGGGGAGTGGAGGTAAAGAACAGTTTCACATGACGTCCTCCTCCTTTGATTCTCCCTGCAGGCGTTTGAGAACACGTTGAAGTCGTGGGAAGACAAGCTGAAGTACGATAAGCCTCCTCTGCGGCCTCACCTCTACCCACAGCAGTCTGTGGACCTGGCCACGGAGGAGGAGGCCGCCCTGGTGCAGATGTGCGCCCGAGCTGCAGAGGAGCTCATCACAAGGTAAACACGTTCAGCCATGAATATCAGGTCTCACCCCAGAGGCTTTACGGACGTACGAAGAATCCAGGCAGTGAATCCCACCCTCTGACATGTGCTCCGTCTGATCACAGGATATGTGAGGCTGCAAAGACCAATGGGCTTTTAGAGCAGGAGCTGGCTCATGCTGTTAATGCTGCATCTCACGCCATCAACAAGACACACCCCAAGTTTCCAGAGGTGAGCAACTCAACATGCAGCTGTTTTTATTCTGGGCGAGCTTTAGGATGTTGCTGCATTTCAGATTCAAACAAACACTGTCAGGAATAAATCTTCTAAGAATCTCCTCAGAGGCGGCAGCTGCAGTTTAACCTTGTTGAGACGTTGCACACATGGAAGTCACAGGGAGATTTCTACTGTCTGAATATTGTGTGTGTGTGTGTGTGTGTGTGTGTGGTAGAGACAGACAGTATATTGGTTTATTGTAAATATCACTGAAGCTGTGGGGGTGACTCAGGGTTCGTCACCTCGGGTTAGCCAGCTCTTTCTGGGGAGGTACTTCATTCTGTGTATTATTTTGGCCTGAAGTTGTTGCTTCCAATATAATTTTTTCCTGGTAATAATAGATGACCTCACTGATAAGTCAGTGTTTTGACTTTGGTTTTGGGACCAAGGCAGAAAAACTCCTTGTACCTTTGTGTTGCGCTCCCTCTCCTGTGGACTGGAGCGTAACGTACAGGAGGCCGGTAACCCTCATGTGATTTCAGGCTGAGCTTTAAGAAGTCGTGACAAAACAAAAATAACTTCAAATATATTCTAACTTACTGTCTGTAGTATTAAGAATTGTTCACTTTTAGCTGCTTCTTTACAGTTCTCACGGTTCGTTTGTTTCACATGTTGCTGCACATTAAACCACTAAAACGATCCTGTTATAAACTGAAGCTCAACCAGCTTCCAGAGTTGTTAAATAAAGTCTGTGTGTGTGTTGGACGAACTGTACGATGGCAGAGATTTTACTAAATGAGCGTTGTGTCTGTTTCCAGAGTCTGACCAGGAACACAGCGATAGAGGTGGCCAGCACTGTCAAGGCTCTGTACAACGAGACCGAGTCTCTTCTGCTGGGCAGAGTCTCTCTGGTCATTATCACTTCATCGTTAATGAGTTTCTTCTACTTTCACTCCATATTATGTCACGTTTCAAACACATTACAGTGTTAAAGGTGCTGCCTGTAGCTGACCTCAGTTTGTTTTCTCCTTCTTTGCAGCAACTGGACCCGCCAGAGGAGGAGCAGCTGTCCGGCGCGCTGCAGAGTGTGGAGTTGGAACTGGGCAAACTGGGAGAGATCCCCTGGCTCTACCACATACTGCAGCCCAACGACGAGGAGGTGAGCAGCCTCATCAGACACGGACACACAGGCATGAACACGGACACTGCTGCCCCACAGAGGCAGAGCGCAGTAACTACAGCAGCAGAGAAGTCGAGACGAGCATTTCAAGTTTCCAGACTGTAAAACAGGAAGTTTCTTTTTAGGCTGATTACTTTACCCAGAAAATCACTGCAGCTTTTCTAGTTAATTAGTTTGTTTAATAAAATGACCCTCAGTTTGATTATTATTTACAGTCAAGTGTGTCTAGTGCCTAGTTTTTATTAATATTTATATTGAAATAAATATAATATATTACTTTGCAATGTAATACATTGACGAATGGTTCAAAGGTCAGAGCGTCAAAAAATGAGAAGGAAGCGACTGAGATCCACTAAACTAATCTACAAACTGATTTAGCTGCTGCTTTATTTTATTATGTGTAATAACAAACTGAAAACCAAAGTGTGACTTTACCAGAATGGATATTTTTCATTTACACATAGAGAAAATCAACCACTAAACACAGCTTTAGTTTTAGCTGAGGGCAGTAGACACAGAGCAGTAACTCCACAGCGAGAGTACACGCTGTATTTTGACTTGCTTTTGAGGTCCATGTTGTAGCTACAGCAAAATTAAAAAGCTGTTTTCACTGAAATTACACATTTCTGTGGCACAATACTTTCACATGTACTGAGTTAAACCTAATACGATGCAGTTTAAACAGCAGTCCTGCCATAAAGCCTCGATACAACTCTCTGGTCATCTTGGAGGCTGCAGTTCGTGGTGCTGTTGAATTAAATAGTTTTAAACTGACAGGTGTTTCTATCATTTTGTTCACTTCATTTATAGAAATAAGAGTAGGCGAAATAACAGAAACACCTCAGTAAAGTTCAGCAGCACCACATCTGTCAGTTAATATCAACAAACTGAACATTAAAACTATCATGAAGGAACTTAGGGCTAAAGTTAGAAACTAGCTAACATTAGTTAGCTAGACTGTAACTAGCTAACATCAGCGTTCATCCGTAGATACTTGACACAATCTAATTCAGAAGGTAAGAAAGTGTATTAAAGAAGCTACGTAGTTAGCTACTGCTACTAGCATTTAGCTACAGTGTCTGTGTGACACACTGAGCAGAGATTTGAGGGCGGAGCCACTGATGGAGTGAGGCAGGCAGATGGTAAAGTCCACTTTAGGGGAGTCACAAGAGTCTCCAAACATGAATATGAGAAATATATTGTAATATTTACATTGTCAGGTAATAAGATTATATAAATGTTTCAACTTTCTATTTATATTATATATTCTATGTTTATAGATTCAAAACCAAACTTCCTGAGCAGTAGTTATTGCGTTTTGCCTTTGCAGGGCAACATACACACACCACACTGTTTTACTCGTAAGTTAAAGTTAAAGCTACCTACACATGTATACAGAAGTGTCTGTGTTTGGTGTAACATGGCTCCAGGTAATGGGAGAGCTGAGTAGCTAAATGAAAGGCTATAGGTTGACTGTGCTTATGTACCAGGACCACTCTCTGGGTTACGGCAAGAGGAACAGTCGCAGCAGCATGTTTCGCATAGTCCCCAAGTTCAAGAAGGAGAAGGCCGCCAAGAAGACGAGCCCTCAGTCAGGTAGGGCTGTGCCTACGTTTGCCTCAGTAGACTGGAACAGACGGACTGACTGCGTAAACCTGTTCGGGACGGGGGGGGGTCGCTCAGTCCGAGTCTGTCCCATCTGCCACAGGGATTTAACACAGTTATGTTAAAGCCTTTTAATTTGAAAGGATGGTAGCATTAAATCAAAACGTGGCTCAAACAGTCCAAGTATGAAGTTTAAGTTGAAATAGAATGAATGTTGTTTTGTTTCCTTTATCTCAGCGGCTGCAGAAATCACACACTCGGGTTATTAAACGCTTGCACTAGCAGGTTAGCTCCAGGTGCTACCATCCTTCACTCAGTCACTGCTACCAAGGTGACGATGAAGGTTCACTCACAAAATAAACAAACTCTGTTCTGCCACCAATCGTCACGGTCGCCTCCCACCACGTCCCTCGCTGCCATCACATCACAGTCCGTGCGTGAAGGTATCAGTGTTACATCCCACAGTCTGACCTGAAGACCATCTACTTCGCTCGGGCCACCTGCTCCGCCCCGCCTCCCCCCATCCCATCCACCCGTCAGCGTGGCTTCAGAGGGCACAGAGGCAGCAGAAGAACGGGGAGAACGAACAAACCAGCCAGAAATCAGGTCGTGTTAGTGGCTTATTGAAGAATCTCAGATCAAAACAGTCCAACACTCTGTTTGATGTGACGAGCTTTTTTACACATTAACAGTCAGATCAGGTGAGAAAGAGTAAGCCCCTCCTCCTCTGGTAGCGGGCGGGTTCCTGACTAGCTGGGCTGTATTTCCTGCCTCCTTTTACCTCCTACTATCTCTGTGTGTTTCTGATCTGGTCTGCCGTACAGTATGCATGCCCCCAGCCTTCCTGGAACGCCGCTGGCCTCGTTCTGAACAACCTTTGGCCTCTGTCACACTCCTCCCTCCTCCGCCCGCTGCAGCCACCGCTCTCCCGCTCACCCCCCCCCCTTTTGTTATTTTTCCCTCCATCTTTTCCTTCAGTGATTCACCACAACTTGTGTCCATCTGTGAGGTCGTGTGTGACGACGTGTTCACACCTGAGTGAGAGGTGACTGTGTGTGTGTGTGTGTACCTGCGAGGCGCTCTGAGCCTCTCTCTGCTCTGCTCCGTGTGTGTGTGTGTTTATGTGTGTGTGTTTATGTGTGTGTGTGTGTGTAGTGGAGAGGTGGGGCACAGAGGAGGTGGGCGTCTGGCTGGAACAGCTGAGTCTGGGGGAGTACAGAGACACCTTCATCCGACACGACATCCGAGGCTCGGAGCTGCTGCACCTGGAGAGGAGGGACCTGAAGGTAAACACACACACCTGTTCACACACCTCAGTCCCTCGGTGAATCTGTGTGACCCCCCCCCCCCCCCCCCCCCCCCCCCCCCCCCCCCCCCCTGTCTCCTCTCGGTCTGGTTCTTGCGCTCTTTAACCTGTCGGGTGTCTCCCTGTCTTCGCCGCCTCTCGTGCTGCACTGCATTGCTCTGCTTGGCTTCTTCTGTCTGATCGTTGCTTTGTGAAAGAGACTCTCTGTGACCCACTAACACTGTCTCTGCTCCGAGGGGAAGCCTACGGGGGGGGGGCAGACTGAGCTGGGCTGGTTGTACAGGGCTGAAGTCAGGAAGTGAAGCCAGACTGTGAATCCAAAAGAAAGAAAGAAAGGTGTCGTCCTGCAGAGTTTCCAGGAGCTTGAAATGAGCCTCACAGATATACAACAGATCACATGTTCGCTTGACTTTGTTCTGATCCGTGGGACGTTTGTGCGACGGCGTCCTCCTCCTCAAAGCGTAGGTGTATATCAGCGTTGGAAAATGATTTTGACTTATGCAAAACAAAAAAGATTGAGAAAAACAGGAGTGAGAGCTGAAAAGAAGAGAACAGTGACACCTGCACGGGCTGCAAAGATGTGAAAAACAAGCTCCCCTCCTAATAAAGATCATACTTATAATCTGTGGACAATCAACTCACTCTCTCACATTGTTTGGATGTTCCACCAGCTGCTACATCCCTACTTAACATAGTGTTGACGGAGCCCTCCCCCCCCCCCCCCCCCCCCTTCCAGATCAAGACTGACTCGCCATCTACCAATCACAGAAGAAGCAGCGCCGCCAACAGAAATTAGACCCAGACCGAGATATTTGAGAATTAAAAAATATCCCAAGAACATTTGTACAATAAATGATGATTAAAACAAACACTTTTTAATAACTAACTTAAATTCTCTTATTAAGGAACTGTGACCAAAACTCAACAGAACAAAACTCGTTCTCTGACGTGTTTTTAATTTTGTTTTCTGTCAAAAAAAAAGTTGCATTGTTCTGCCAAATATATAAACATCAACAATGTTTTGAAATGAACTCAAACATATTTGGATTTTACCAATATATCTGTGATAAGTGAATATTGGCCTGCGAAGTCAGACAGCAGCAGAAAAGCTGAAGCTCAGAAGAAACTGGGGGAAGTGGAACAGAGGGGCCGGACGTAATTACTTTATTTTATTTTGGATTATTTTACAATAAAAAAATAATACTTCACATCAACCTTTGGAAAACTGCAGAGAATAAGACAGAGTCAACAAACCACATGGGTTCTTTCAGCTTTCCATCCACCATTTTTAAATAATAATATTAATGATAATTACCTTGAATGAAATAGTAATTACATAGTTAATTTACACCTTAATACATTTCAATAAGAGATGAATAAAAGTAGCTGAATTACACCAAACTGTGACTTTTACTAGAGTCAGAAACTAAAGTAGCAGCTACCGCTACTCCTCTAAGCTAACGTTAGCATGTTTGCCTTTTAGCATGACTAGTTGAGCTGTTTTCCATGACTGGATTTATCTTCTTCTAAATTAGATTAAACAAAATATTAGTTCCCTGAAGTTAACATGTGTATGACAGTTGAGGCTAGCTGTGGCTATCTCTATAGCTATGTTGTATATAACATATAAACTATACGTTTCTGTGATTTAAAACTAGCACATATGTAGTCACTGTACTTTGGCTTTGTAGGGAAGAATTACTAAATAACAGCTTTTTAACACACAGTTACACGACACCTGTGTTCGTTCCCGTTGTTGACACTCTTCACTCAGAACCACAAATGTGAACCTCAAGGTGGCGCTAGAGGAAAGCTCTGGATCGTCAGGCTCATCCATCCAGTAGTTGTCAAGGTGATTCTCTCTGTCACAAAGAAGTGACCCGGCCGACAGCAGCAGCAGCAGCGCGGCCTGACGATGACTTCACCATGTGAAGAATCTTTTTCCTTCCTCTCAGATTTACAGAAGAAACAACGAGCGAGTTGGTGTAGTCTGAAAACTGCACCCTCTGAGGTCTGAGAGTATTTTCTCCATTCCTGCATTATTTCTTAAGATAATATCCAAGTGTTTATATCACAATCTTCAGAACTACCTCAGCTTTTTCTTCTTGTTCTTTACACTGAGCAAAACTCAAGCCTGTTTTTTTTTAATTCTCCAGATCTCATGTGAAATCAAACCTTTAATGATGTGGATGAATTGTTTTGGTGCTTGAAATGTGTTCACCAAAGTCTGAGATTCATAGAAATAGAGCAACATGTGAGTAAAATAGTAGATACATGTGTAATAAAATAAGTGTTGTCTGTCACTCTACTCTTACATTCCAGCTCCAGCTGTGAGTCACGTACGATCTCACAAGAATATGAAACAGAAAGTGGAGAGTCGACAGACTGTAGCAACATTTAAAGCATATTTCTGCGCTGTGTTATCACAAAGATGTTAATAGAACCGTCCGTGGACCTCAGAGGGTTAATGATCCGCCTACAGGCGGCGCTGGTTCTAACGCCGCCCTGCAGCAGACCTGTCTCTGCGTGTTTTTAACGTGTCGCTCTTATTATTCCTCCTCAGGATCTGGGGATATCGAAAGTGGGTCATATGAAGAGAATTCTCCAGGGAACTAAAGACCTGGCCAAGGCCTCCATGGTTGACCTCTAACCCGGGAGCAGATGTTGCCGGAGAGGGGGAAATGAGCGCCCCCTCCCCCTCTGCCATCAGTGGGAGGAGTCTGGCAGCACCGTGGGCAGCGAAGGAGACGACAGGTATTCTGGGAGAGCTGGACGCTGTCCCTCTGCCGCGCTGAGACGGCCTCTGTGATGTTGTGAACAAGAAACATTAGTGTGTTTGTGCTTTGGTGCCAAAACGACCGAAGGAAGTGCAAAAGGAAGTCATGGATCTTCACACAAAAAAGCCATTTCTGAGTTAATAACCATTCCTAGCACACGATCAGGTATGCAACTAACCACACTGAGGACAGTTCACGTGTTGTCTGACAAACTAGTAGCAAAACCAGGACTTCCATGAGTGTGTGTGTGTGTGTGTGTGTGTGTGTGTGGGGGGGGGGGTGGGGGGGGGGGGGGGGGGGGTCAGTAGTGTGTGCAGATGTGATGTTTGCTGGATATTATATTCATAGAGCTGCGGATGCATCAACGCAGAGACGACAAACAGCGGAAGGTTCCTGAAAACAGTGGGATACTGTCGCATGCTATGCTTGCTCAACTTCAGATATGTTTAATTGCATGATTAGTGTCTTGATTTTTTTTTTTTTGTGTGCAAAAATAACACTTGAACAAGTTTTACATTAAGTATTACGATGCCATTTGTTACTACTGAACGCATCTTTCTTTTCTTTGTTTGGTCTAAATCTTCTGGTTTTTTAGCTTTAATTTATTTTGTTTGCATGATGATGATGTCAGGTGCCATATTTTCAGTCATAGTGTAAATGTGCTTTATTGGTAGATATCATAAGAAGTTTATAAAAAAGCTGTTGATGAGGTATGAATATGAATATATGGAATTAATAAGTTGACACGTTCTCTGTGGATGTGAAAATCAGTACCAAAGTGAATGTCTAAGAAAACATGATCATCAACTCTTTATTTAATCGGCCAGTTGGTCTTAGGTCTTAATTCCATTAAAGCTGGGAAGCAGATTAGTATTAAACAGGAAGGAAGTAAAAGCGTTGGTCTGAAGCCGACCACATTTACCGTCGGCTTGTTGAGTTCTTTTGTGTTTTTAAAAGGCACTTTTTACTTCTTGCTTTGTGCAAGTGCAACTCCTCATATCATTACATAGAATTAACAGTTCACCTCAACTTTTTAAACTTTTGGCAAGTTAACACAGTATTTAACACTAATGAGAATAGGAGTTAGATATTGGTTTTGAATATATAATAGAGACGTTGATCTGCAGCCTGCATAGCGTTGTTCAAGTGCAGCTTATTTTCCTTCAAATCACAGTGAGATGTCGACAGGACACTACTTGTACTTGTTAGTTTCTTTTAAGACTGGTGGCATTACAGGGTATATTTCTATATGTGATGCTAAGGTGGTATATATACATATATATGTGTATATATATGCAGTGTATATACAGTATACCAGTGTATGCAAACAATGTTTGTAAGTGTTGTAGTCTAATGCATTTGTAGATTGCTGACATGGCATGCATTGTCAACAGCTGACACATTTGACTGTGTATATTACACCATAACAATTGTGTATAGTTGATTTTGTTCTAATCTCTTGTACATGATAATGCTGTTGTATTCGAATGATGGTGCAATATTTGATCTCTTGTTTTGATACTGTCTCTGCAGCTTTCTGACATGATGTTTCTCAGCGGGGGAAAAAAAAACACACAAAAAAACACCCCAGGAAAGAGTTTTTTGTACATGTTCTCTTCCTCCTGCTCCCTCCAGGTGTGAGGATTAGATTTTAAAGCGTTAGACTCGTAGACAGACAGACTGCGTTTTCTTACCGACTCCAAATTTCTTCCAGTGGTTTCACTAGTTTGTAGTTTTTTGCTCCTCTGTGCTTCCAGGACGAGACACTGACGTGGGACGGTGTCGGTGAGGGAGGAGGCCGGGCAGACACGACTGTTGTGTTCGTTTGTCCTCGCAGTGGCATATTTTACTTTGTCCGCAATTGTATATTTACCAACAGATTTTACCATGTGATATCAACTTTAATAACTCAGTCGTCCGTTTCTCACTGAACAGTGAGCGTTAAAGTTTCCACCCCCCACCATTCATCAAAGTATCGTATATTATAGTCATGCATTGTCCCTAATGTGCCACCAGAGGGCGTCTCTGCTGTCCCTCAGGCACATTGTTGAATGATTTTACAGTTGCTTATGTTGACGATCAGTTGAGTCTAAACCATTATATTCAGTATGATCTCTTTAAACCCGTGAATCTAATTCCAATCCAAGATGATTTTTTTCATGTGTGCACTATTGTTCATCCTCAGCCAAAGATAAAGACGTGACTACAGACCACTCACTCAAACGTTCTCCCAGACAGAACTACGCCTTTAATTTGTTTAGCGCATCAGATTCATTGTTCACTATTTGGCCTTTTGCGAGCCAGAAAATCTGCGTAAAGGTTTTTACATGTGCTTTACTGGAGCAGTGTAGTAGAGCTGCTGTATGCTGCCTCGTGCTCATCACTTCCATTTAATGTCCATCACACCGGTCACTGCTGCAGTTCTCCAGCTGTGTCTGTGTCTCTCAAAGTGTCTGCCTGGGTCTGTAAGTTTCAAGACTCCAGGATATAAGATCGTGCTTGACCTCTCCATACAAAGTGGAAGTCGACACCTTTTCACCCCTCGCTGTGTTTTCCAGTAGTCTGTAAATAATGCTGCAAACTGCCTGGTTTTCAAAAACCAACGAAACCCATGCAAGGATCTCTGAAAGACAGGTTAACACATCGTCTTTGATATGGTTCCTGAAGTGATGGGAGAAAAGTGAATTTCATTTGTTTACATTATGTTTACAATGGCACAGTTTTAATTTTTAAGAATATATATGTAGGTATAAACAATATTTGCATATTTATTGCCTAAGGTTAAATGATATGATGTGTATTGTGTTTTCACCTTTGGAATATAATGTTACAGTTGTCACCTGTATTACTATCTGGATGATTTTGGTAAAGTAGTTGATCATTTTTATGACTACTAAGTGACTGTTTTCTGTGCCTTTTTATGGTTAGAATGCATGGTTAACTATTTATTACGATTTGGAGTCACTGAGATGTGTATTTTTGTATTCTGAATAAATAAATGGTTCAGCTTTTGTTGTACATTTTTAAGGTGCCTTAAAACGGGCTACCTATTCATATCTCTCTTCTTCAATAAAACCAAATACATATGCAGCGTGGCTCCACCTCTTTTGATTTCACTTCCAGGAAAACAGTCAAGGCTATAAAATGTAAAGTATGTGCAGTATATAACAGTTGAAGAAATCTTCTGTACAAAGTTTCTCTGTGGTGCCAGAGGATAAATGAGCTGCAGCAAACAAACTCACATTCAAAGTATGAAACTAGAATCCAGCCGAGTGTCGGGGAACATGGTCGACACAGTAGAACACAGTTTCTCCTTCAGTTGGTGTTGAATAATGGCCACAAGTGTTTTTGTTCTTAACTCAGACTTTAAGGAAAATCTCAAGGTGTTTTGTGCAAACGGCTCCTGATGCCTGTTCGTATTCATCATGTAATTTACTGCCCTCTTGTGGTGGCAGCAGGGTATTGTCCCTGAAAGCCGGCTTGAGTCATGTGGGTTTCTCACCTCCCCCGCCGCCCCTTCAGGAGACCAGGTCAAAGTCTGTTCTCTCCAATGGGAGAAATGAACCTGTCCACAAATTGTAAGTAAATATTGAATCCATTTTTCTAAAGCCGCAGATCTTCCAAACTTTCTGACATCAAAATTGCATTTTTCAGACAGATCAGAAGAAAATGAACTTTAATGGAGATCTGTCTCAGCAACACAGCTCGCTCCTCTCTCTGTCGGTTCTGGTTTCACTGCTGCAGCACGTCACTTTCTAACAACAGAACTTATGTGAAACCATGAATTAAAAGTTTAAACTGAAATAAAACTTGTATTTCTTTGCTTAATAATACTACTGCTATTAAATATTATGTAAATTCAAACTGTATCTAGTGTTGTATTGTGTTGTCATGTTTTGACGTGAACAAGCAATCACGACCACGCCCACTTAGGAGAAGAGCAGGAAGTGTGGCGCCGCATGTAATACGTCATTTTCTGCAGTTTCTTTGGCTGTTCCACCATTTTTGTCAAATAACCGCAACCTTTACACAAATTTCATCAAAAATCATCAAAGGTAGATTAGAAAATGGTGATTTAAATAATTAATTGTGTAAAATATCCAAGGTTGAAGATTATATTTACTGCTCAAAAAGATATTTCTTCAGTATGTTTTTGCCCGTTCAAGGATTAAAGACATGTGGACAGTCAGCTGTAAGCTGTAAGCTAGTCGCCTTGTTTCTCCTCAGAGATGAGATTTTAAGTTACACAAAAAAGAACCATTTAACCAAAAGTTATGTTTTTAAAGTTCTTACTTAAGTGTGTCTACTAGAAAATAATAAGCTGGTAATTTTCAGGCCCTTTTTCATGCCTCGAATAGGGCCAGTAACAGGGCCTGAAATAGCTCCTTTTTTCTCCTAAAATGTTAAATTTACACCTTAGAATAGGAAATAACATTCACATTTTGCAAGAAAATCATGAAATTGTGTCATTTGAACTGAGATACATTATAAAATGGTGATTAATTTAAGTATTTTTCCAAAATATTTGTTCAGTATGTTGTTGCCCATTCAAGGGTTAAAGACATGTGGACACTTTGAAGTCAAATCAATGAAAAGACTCAGACTCAAGTTTGATGTTTACCTACATCTCCTTTATTTATTTCTTTCATTATTTTTGATGCTTCAACACACAAAAACACAATAAAGGTGAAACAGCACAACAGTATGTGTCTGTGTCAGTCAGACCACAGGTTTGGTTCAACTGAAGTTACACTCATCAGTCAACAGGTAATAATCAGCATGTTCATCGACTTCTTCCCAGACTGAATATCTAAACTTTCTCTACTGTTTCTTCATTTGGTTAAAATATAAAAAAGTTCCCTTTACTTCCAAAACAAACCACAATAAATGGACAGTAAAGCCCAGAAAATCAAACCCTTTAAACCCCCTTTGTTAATCAGTGATTAAGTTACTGCACAAACACATTCACACAAACCACGCAAATGTTTCGGGGCCCCCCCAAGAACAAAGGGTCCCCCGATGGCCCTCTATAAACCTTCTTAAACCTCCATAAAGACACTATTCAGTGTTCAGTTCTTTATCAGGACGAAACAAAAGTCACAGAAGGTCGACAGCCTGTGAGTCGGTCCGAGTCGCCATGGAAACCACTTGAGGAGACAAACAGAACAAATTCAGATTAGTTTTCGGTCCCTGGTGTGTGAAGCCTGTGACTTTTCTCCCAGAATGCAGTGCGATGACAGAAATCAGCATCTTTAAAAGTGATCTGTCACCTGCCAGAAACACAGGTGAGTCTTACCTAATTGGTCCAGGCCATGCTGATGAGGGCGGGATTTTCATCTTTATATAATGACCTGACAGATCTGCGTCTTTTCTTATTGCAGCTCTGAGACAAAGACAAACACACAAATTAAGTTTTCCTCATAGAAAACTTTTCCCTTTTGTGTCACACTGTTTACATCTTTGACCACAGTCATGACACAAACAGAGGCTTTCCTGAGAGAACCATGGAAATCAAACATGGTGTTCAACAGTCTGGAGAACTGGCTGGGACTTTGTGGCACAGAGCCAAACTGGTTTGAATCTTCTGTGAAGGACAGGGACTAGTTTGTGTCCCTGAGGAATTACACATCTGAGTGCAGACAGATGACGTGGAGTTCCCCAAGGCTCCGTCCTCGGGCCTCTTCTGTTCTACATCTACAGGCTTCCACCAGCTCAGACTGTTGAATACAACTAAATATCTCACCATCAGTGATTGGATGATGAGACAAAACTTTCTGTGTGTGTGTATGTGCGTGTGTGTGCGTGTGTGTGTGTGTGTGCGTGTGTGTGCGTGTGCGTGTGCGTGTGCGTGTGCGTGTGTGTGTGTGTGTGTGTATGTGTGTGTGTGTGTGTGTGTGTGTTTGTGTGTGTGTGTGTTTGTGTGTCTGTATGTGTGTGAGTGTGTGTGTGCGTGTGTATGTGTGTGTGTGTGTGTGTGTGTGTGCGTGTGCGTGTGCGTGTGCGTGTGCGTGTGTGTGTGTGTGGACGAGGGCGTACCGGCGCGCAGGTGTTGTTGTTCTTCACACACAGGTTGAGTCTGCAATGCAGGTAGATGTCACCGTTCTTCCCAGTGAACTGGAACATGTTGAAGGAGAAGTAGTTGAATGTTCCCAGTCCGTTGCCGATCACCGTCACTGTGTCGTCGGCTGGGTTGGAGCAGCTGAACAGAAGCGGGAAGACACAGCAGCTGATGAAGTCTATCAAAGTTCAACACTTTGTACCACAGCTTAACCATAGAAGATTTTTATTGGTATTCCTGAAAACATGCTAACAGGTTTATCTGGTCTGAATTCCCCTGTGAGCTCCGCCCAGTGTTTCTGCATCAGCTGGTAAAAATGGATTTGGGCAGGTTGATATAATTTGTAATAAAGTTTTTGAAGCTTTAGGAGGAAAAGTAAAAGTGTGAGAAGCAGAGGGAGAAAGATGAGGCAGAGACACTGTGTCAGGTGAAAGGGACAGGTGTACACAGCTGGTCTAAAAGAAACAGGAAGTTACTTATTGATCAACACAATCAATCTGTCACAGTGATCCAGTGGTCGTTGTCTGAACGTCCAGAGGAACACAGCAAACAGGAAGTGCTATTAACTAACTGTGTCTCTCACCCTTTCATGATCAGGTCGTATCTCAGACTCCCATTGGGCGACGACTGGTCGGTGGCCCAGCAGGAATCGGTCACCACGGAAACCAGTTGGTCGTCCAGCCCCTCGGTCTTCAGCTCCACAAAGACTTTCTGCTGCAGCTGGATTTCGGTGCTTGCATTGATGGCTTTTGTACGGCCGGCATCGCTGTAGGCCTTCATGGTCAGAGTGTAATTCCAAGGTCCAGATATAATCTTCTGGATAACAGAGCTGTACACACACACACACACACACACACACACACACACACATAAATAGATTCACTTTACAGTTACTCTTGTAGCTGAGTTAAAAGGCAAAGAGTTAAGGAGTTAATTAGCCAATCAGAATCAGCTTTGTTCATTGCTATGGCGACTGTGGCCACCAGGGGGAGTCTTGTGACCCATTTAAAGCTTCAATCATATTTCTATGTTAAAGTACGATGACGCAGTAGAGCTCCAAACACATTTCTCCATTCATTCTCTATGGGAAATCTTTCGCTATTTTTGCCATTTATGTTGCCATGGTTACTCAAATTGATAAGAAATGTGACAGCACACCATTTGATACATATTTTATCTGGGTTTTTCACAAAGCTGTGGGAGCAGTTACGCGCCAAATTTCTTACGGAAGAGGAATATGAAGAGGGAGAAACATGCGGGATCATAACATGTAGATATATATGGAAGGCAGACAGTGACCTCAGAGGTGAATGATGGTCACTCACCTGTTTCTGATTTTGAAGGCCATGGTCTTGATCTCTGGCTGGTTGTAGTAGCAGGAGAAGTCGATCTGGAATTGGTCGTGGCGAGTGATGACGCCAGTGTTGTTCTGTTTCATGATGGAGTTCTTGTAGATGATCTGGCTGTTGTTGGCCTGAAGGGTCACAGGGATTCACACAGTGTCACATCCATCTACAGAAGCCTGATGCTAAAAATTCTGCTCTGTTTTTCTGAATCAACAACATAATCATCTCTTAATTCTGAGATAATTATCTTGTTAATTCAGAAAAAAAAGACAGAATTTTCTTCCTTAAGTGAACGCATCACGCTACTGTATTCATCTTCACATTCCTCCTGTAACACCTGACATGTCTTGAGGCGTGATGACAGAATCAGCGTCATATATTAGTTCAGAGACACAGTATCCTGACCACTCCCACTAACGCTGCAGAGCTCAGCTGATTGGCTCATTGAGAGCCAGTCAGGAGAGGACAGACACCCACCATTACCACCGTCCCACAGGTGTTGTTGCTGTCGAAGCTGAAGGTCAACATGTGGGTCTTGTTGTCCATCTCTCCTCTGCAGCTGTTGTTGTTGAGGTGTAACATGGAGTAGTCGACGCCTCTTTCGTTCAGGAGACAACCGGCCAGGGTGACCGTGGCGGAGTTGTTATCGCAGACCGTCGGCTCGCCTGAACAGCAGGACGAGACGAGGAGAATGAAACACACACAAACATGTGACGCTGAGCAAAGCTTCTGCTGTCAGAAGACTGGAGGAGACGTTCATGTTTCCACCGCAGCAGACGTCTGTGAACGCCTCACTTTACTCCACCAGTCAATACTTGTCACATCACTAGTCCATCCAGCGACTGTGTGTAATGTGAAAGTGTCTCTGGTACATGGGGTTAGGGTTTTCCAAATTTCCTATTTCCCAGGTTTCTGTGACAGTGAACGCAACATATATGTGTTTTTGAGAGCTGATCATATAAAACAAGTTTGAACGTGTTCACGTGGAGTTCAGGGCATTTTGAACTATTTCCTGACATTTTTACAAGGAAATAATTGTCAGATTGATTATTGAGGAATCACTAATTTCAGCCCTGCAGTCAATTCTCTGATGATGGAGTGATTCCACGTCATCACAGGTTTTCTGTGTTCATCTACTGACAGCCTGCATCTTAGGCGTTTAGGGGACATCTATAAACTGTAACATGCAGTGAGGATCACCACAGCTAATTTCTACCACACTCACGATGAATCGATGTGGGGTAAAGCAGGTGGTGTCTCGGGGTCTGGGCCCCTGAGAATATGTTTCTCAGCTATAACCTGTGATACTGAACATCACGCCGTGTGGCTGGTTCTCCCTCCTCACCTAAAGTGTTTCTTGATCTGTATTTGGAGGCGAAGATGGCCCGACAGAAGCAGCTGGTTTTACCACTGATGTCGACCGCACAGAACTCATGAGGGCTGCAGAAGGTGTCGTTACAGATGACCTTGGGGGCGGCTGAAAGAGTCAAACAGACACTCATTAGAGTCAGAGAAACAGACCTGCTCTGAGAAGGGACTGTGTGATCCCTCGTCTCGTCCCGTCAGGTCTTAGAAAACAGAGGTGAGTGAAAGTCAGTGAAGGTCTCACAGCAGTTGGCTTTTGACCTCCAGCCCTGCAGGGTTTTGTTGGAAGGCTGTAGGTTGCAGGCGGCGACGTAGGCCTCCAGGAACTGGCACCGACTGAAACCGTCCACCACTGGATATTTGCACAGATTGCTGGTGCAGGCGGTGATGAAGGGCTCTGGGTCGGTGAGGTTGTGGCAGGCGGTGAAGGGCGCCTCCCTCAGGACATTACAGCTGTTGTGGGAAACAGAAGCATCGAGTTCAGTCAACAAGACACATGTGTGTGTGTGTGTGTGTGTGTGTGTGTGTGTGTGTGTGTGTGTGTGTTCAGGTGTGTGTGCTCACCGTTCCGTCACCATGGTGCAGTTGATGCTTGTGTCGTTACGTTCCCTGTGCAGCACCTCACAGCTGTGGGGGGGGGCAGACAGCAGGAGGTCAGGGCTTGGTTTATACACAGTAAGTGCAGTGGGACGTTCAGGTGCAGTGACTCACCTGGAGGAGCTGGAAGCGGACTTCATGTCACTCAGAGTCCTGTTGCCACATAAACCCTGCATGCTGGGGAATCCACCTGAGACAAGGAGTCAGGTGATCAAAGTCAGACTGGAGGCTCACGGCCGCTCGTTAAAAGACAGGTGTCATCACTGATTCAAACCGCCACAGTGTGTGTCCTCTGTGATTCTACTGAGCCAGTGGATCATATGTGTTTTCTCTGTTTAAACTCAAATCACTTCACATTGTTTTGTAAATGAATCTCTCAGTGACCAACACAGCATCATCAGAGCAACATAACAGTGACAGGTGTTCACTGTTGTCACGTGGAGGTGTCGCAGAGACTCTACCTGGCGTGGTGATCTGTGCGGTGTAGCCATCAAAGAAGACGGAAACCTTGGAGAGCGGGAACATGGCGGTGACTCCGGTTTTGTCCTTGGAGAGTTTCACGCCGTGAAGCTGCTGAGGCACGTCACTGAGGCTCAGCACCGTGTCGTTCACCTGCATCACAGCAGAGAGTGGAGGGAAAACGCTGGTTCAAATGTGAGCGACACCGCTGAACAGGAAGTTACTGAGCCCACACATAGGTCCAACACGCCTCCACACCATCGTCTCTGGACACAGCACTCCTCACATGCCTTGAACCATAGAAACCATGTTCTTGCTTGTCTTCGGATGTTCTGAATTCACCACCTGAACCATCCACTTTGACCTACGCCACGTTGCTTACATTTCAGACCTGTCCCATTCGTTAAATGACACCCGACTGTTCTACATAAAGCAGATTACCCATCACTCTGGTCCACCTACAGCCATCTCCTACTTCAAAGCCCAATCACCCTAAATCCTTCAGAAACCCCTGCAGGCTCCCTGCTCCATCAGAGGGTTCAGAGCACAACAGCAACAGATCCTCTTTTCATCTCTGAATCCAGACAAGTCGATCCAGACTAGGCAGTCTTTCAGAATCGGAGCCGCCCCACATCGCGTCCATGAATCAAGCAAGAAACCGCAAGAACAACCTTCATCTAGTGACAGTCAAGCCAGTGAAATCACATTTCAATAATCTAAACTCATCTGCAACAGCAAATACCACATCATGTTTTCTATCAGTGTCATGAGGAAATGTTTTTAAATCATCAACACGTTGATCCTGAACGTCTCAGTCAAATGTTTGTTTTCCACTACAGGATCTGCTCTCACACAACAACCTCCACCTGTAGACGCCAGCTTTATGGTTCTGCTCAGACTCTCAGCTCTGGGTTCAGGTTCAGGGAGAGATCCTGGTCTGGTTTGATACAGAAACAGTTCACCACCTGTTTATTTACATTTAGCCTAAGCCTCTATCTTTCACTGACGCCTGATGATGTCACACAACGCAGGAGACTGTCACAACAAGGGGACAACGAGCGAGCGATCACACGTGGACAGATGTTTTTTTAGCCCTACAGAGGACACGCTGAGAGCCCAGATGTTTTGGAGGAAGCAGTTGGCAGCTGTTGGAGGGCTGCGGACCTGTGCATGTCAGCCCTCTACTGGCTGAAAGGAGAAGTGCGCTGCTTTGCTTTCATTAACGTCAAACCCTCTGCCTGTGGAGGCTTGACAGGAGGCGGGAAAAACAAAGAGATCACATGGTGATGGTTTGAGGCGAGTTGAAGGACGCTGTAAACAGCAAGAGGAAGCATGAACCCACAGTCACAGCTGGATGCTCTGACCTGAGTCCACACCTACACAGGGAGCTCACCTGAACTCTTCCACCTTGTCCCAGGTGAAAGCTGACACCCGAATTGTACAGAATCACTTGGTCCAGAAAACTGATGTCTTTACGGCGGCGGTCCTTGAAGACCGCCTCCAGCCGGACACCCCTATGTGACATCAGAGAGTAAGTACAGCGATTTGGGATGGAGGTCACATTGCCGTCAAACCTGATGACAGTGGAGCCAATCACAGTGCACGTGGATGGGCACCTAACACATGGAGGGAAGGGTGGGTGTTAGTATCATCAACATAAAACAAAAGAGAAAAAATATATTTTCCTAGAAATAAAAATGAGGCATATTTACGGGCAGCTCGTTCCACAGGGACCGACTGTGAGGTTCGCCTGTTGACTGCACTGTACACTGAAGCCTTTTGAGTCACACCCCGAAAAGCTTGGTGAATATAGAGAACCTGGGACAAACACAGATCACTGAGTTACACACCAACTGACAGACAGAGAAATAAGCAACATTAAAACAGTTTGGCCCTGAGTCCCTCCCCTCGTGTTTACCCAGCTCTCTTCAGATTTCTGCCTCCGCCCTGATACAGAGCTGCTGAGTGGAGTTTAGGTTAAATTGTAAATGGACTTGAACTTATACAGCAATTTTCTAGTCTTACTGACCACTCAAGGCTCTTTATAAGTTGTGGTTCATACAACCAAACACACACACACACACACACACACACACATATAAAAGGTAGGACAATAAAACTCAAGATCATAAAGAGAAAATAATACAAGAGAGGAGACGTTTGAAAAGAGTAAAACCAGTAAGAGAAGCAAATTTTTAAAAAATCATACAAAATTAAAGTAGGGTATTAGAAGGAAAACAATCCAGACAATAATCATAGAATATAAGGACATACCAGTAAAACAGCCTCAAAGATATAAATAAATATAAAAATAAATCAATAAAATTCTAATAAAAGCCAGACTGACAAGGTCAGTCTTGAGTTTGAGCTGTTGGTGGTTATTAAACTAACACTAAGCACTAACCTTTGTGCACGCATCCGTCAAGGTAATTGTAGACAGGTTGACTACTGACATTCCACTTATCCAGGATAACACCACGGACAACCAAGTCCACGAGCTGCAGAGGAACGACAGCACAGAGGCCACTGACACACCCTCACACACATAAGAAACTCAACTAAAACTCTATCGTCCATTTGGGCAACTAAAGCAACATGTGTGTGACGTGTAAACATCTTTATCAACTATTCCCCATCTATGTCGTACATGTACTTACATGAGTTTTGCTGGTATAACCAGCAATTCTCACAACTGGTGCGGAAAACTTGCGGAAGTTAAATGCAATCTGGAAACATGAAACAGGTGAGACTCAGAGACTGTTGGAAGATAAAAGCTTTCAGAAAAAACTTCAGATGACCTGAATTGATATAAGAGATCAGACAGACTCTGATGAAACTCACCACAGATGATGTGTTGTTCTTTAATAAGACTATCTCAATGAAACATGTTGAGTTTCCTGAGAGACCTGGCAGGTTGCGATGATATGCTGATGGATAGAGCTGTGCCCTTGTTGAGTTGAACCAATATCCCTTGACGATGTCAGTGTCAAACACCTGGAGACAGTTGTTTTCAACGGTTTCATTTTTAAAGCCTTTGAAACAAATTGCGCTTTGTCCGTTGGTGATATTTACCTGTCAACAATAGGGAGACACAACAAATCAATTAGTAGAAACTCATAATGCATGTGTGTATAACATAATTAAAAAACATAACTGGAGATCGTTTTAGCTGATGGTCAGGAGCAGGACCACACACCAAACACCTCTCTTCCTGTCGTACATGCCTTCCTGCCCTGAAACTGAACTTGTCAGTCATACATTTCCCCCCAGTCAGCCTTGTTGTGGCGCTGATGCAACCTCCACCAAACACAGACTTATAAGATCAACAAGGACAAAGACGTGAAGCTGTTCTCAACTGTCCAGCTTCGTCTTACTCACGTATAAATTGTTGTAACGTTGTCCAAAAAAGTAGATGGGGCAGGCGCTGATATCTATGGTGGTACTGCTTTGAAATTCTTCTCGGGAAGCTGAAAAGGAAACATGGTGAGAGTCAGTTAGAGAAGTCAATCAGGAGGTTGGACCACAGGAGAAGTTGCAAATGTAATTGTTGGGAAAAAGAGAGCCCCAGGAGCCTACAGCACCCTACAGGAGCCTGCAGGAGCCAGCAGGAGCCTACAGGAGCCTGCAGGAGTCAGCAGGAGCCTGCAGGAGCCAGCAGGACCCTACAGGAGCCAGCAGGAGCCTGCAAGACCCTACAGGAGCCAGCAGGAGCCTGCAGGAGCCAGCAAGACCCTACAGGAGCCAGCAGGACCCTACAGGAGCCTGCAGGAGCCAGCAGGAGCCTACAGGAGTCAGCAGGAGCCTGCAGGAGCCAGCAGGAGCCTGCAAGACCCTACAGGAGCCAGCAGGACCCTACAGGAGCCTGCAGGAGCCAGCATGAGCCCATGTAGATTCACAGGACAACTAACAGTTTAGAGTTTACTAACGGCTCAGCCTGATAATGATCTTCCTGCTTCAGTTGGTTCTCAGTTTGCTGATGATGGTAGAGTTTCAAAATGGCTGCCGTGTGGATGAGGTGGTGTGTGTTCTTACCTACAGTCTGGCTGAGTGCAGCCAGGTAAAGCAGGACGAGGAGCATGTTGGAGGAGAGTCCGGAGTCTGCTGACAGAGAGCTGCAAGACAGAGCAGTGACACGTTCACCTTCACACAACTCTGTGACATCACATCCAAAGACTCATTCGGTTGAGCTCAGCTGATCTCAGACCACATTTCCACACAGTCTCCTCTCTGTGAGTCCATCACAGTCTGTTTGGCTCAGCCTCACAACAAGACACATTTTAAGAATGAGTAACTGAAATTAAAGATAAATATGACAACAACAAAAAAACTTTACTTTTTTACTTTGTCGATGCTCAAAAGATTCTTGTATTGAGATCATTAAAATTTTAATTTTCAACACCTAATCATTCACATCAGGGCTGCTGTAGGCAACATGCAGTGACAGCAACTCTTCTGAAGAACACGTATAACCTCTTTTCCAACAAACAGGAGCTATGTTGCCATGGATACAGTGAGTTAATCTGTGGCTGTTATATTTTGGAAAATGAAGTGTAGTAAATGATCTAATATCAGTTCCTGTTTGTTGTGAACCATTGATGAACTGACAGCTGTCACTGATCACTGACTGTGCAGCTTCTTCTTCTGTGGTTTCTCATCAGACCTGTGGAGGTTTATTTACAGCGTGTTCTCATGTCTTCAGGTCTGACTGAATCATGACTCAGATTTTTATCTGATGTGAGTTTCACATGTTTTTGGATGTTGATGTTTGACGACGTATTAAATGACTATGTTGATCTGATTTGATGCAACATGTAAATGAATGTAACCGGTAGTATAAGTGCAAGGAGCTCTCAGACACTTTGATTTAGTCAAAGCAGCTCTCAGAGTAAAAGGTCAGAGACCCCTGACCTATAGGCTCGTAGTGCATCATATTAGGGGTAAAATATTTTTTTATTTTGTTGGTAAAGTTGGAAAATCCTCCTCCAGCACAGCACGTCATCAGGGAGAAGTCTCCACTGATCTTCTGATTATTAACTGAGTATTCACATTCACAGCTGCAGACTCATTATGGTAGAACCATGTATCAACTCCTACATACAGTTTGATCTGTTTGCAAAACTCAAAAGTCCAAATGTAATGATATCAACACAGTAAATGTGACCTGAGCAGAATAAAGTTTTGTGTGGTTTTGATGGGGTTTTCTAGGCCTGACTCACCACAGTGCAGAAACAAAGAGGCAGAGACAGAGTCTTACCTTCTGGAGGTTTTCTGGACGACCTGGGAGAAGATGTCCTCTGCTGTCCTCAGCTCTGCTTCAGGTTCCTCTTGCTCAGGTCTCGGAGAGATGTGGTCTCACTCTCTGCTGCTCCTCCTTTTATACGTTTTCAGCCCAAAAGACATGTTCAGCTATTTTCGTCAAACTGGTTTTAGCACATTACAGAGTGACACAAAGAATTGCTGTAAAATATGTTGTTTTGCATGTTGTTGCTAGGGACACATAAACCCTAGGGTGCTCTCCACCAAAAAACATGATTGCACATATTGCACAAGTAGAAGCCAGACAAAATCAAAGAAATAAAGTGACAATAAAATAATTCACCAGAGCCCCAGCTGCACAGCAGCAGGTTGAACAGATCCACCAGTTGGTTTCCTGCTGACTTTATTGGCTGTGTTGACCACTTTCACCAGGATATCATATATGAATAAAACTGAAGACATTAAAGTGTAGTTCAGGCCACTTTCTGCTGCTGCCTGCTAAACAGCCTCCAGAATACTAACACCAAAGCCAGTGAGCTTCATGAGATGATGCAAACAAATATAACTACTTTTTACAACTAAATACGTGCCTAGATAACTGAACACTTCTAAAACTTGAAATGATGCTGATCACCAATTCTTTGCTCTGGCCAGTAAATTTGCACAGTTCTTGTAGTGCTCGTGCTGTACTTCATACAGTCTGCTTCATGTACAGCATCACCTTTTTTTGGCATGTATAAGACTGATAAGTGTTTGAGTTTGTGGATCCTCAATCCGTCGACGCAGTTTGGAAAATAAAACATTTGACGAGACACATCTCTGTGAAGCTCCTGCAGTCATTAAAGCAGACCCTCTCAGCATCCACGTCAACTCATGTTGTAACTGTCCCTCACAATAAACAGCACTCCCTGGAACTCTTGAATGGCAGCAGGGGCAATCACTTCATTGGGATCATCAGGTGGGCACACAGCATCTCCAGAGGGCGCAGCGTCTAGTGCCCCTGTCCACTTCTAGCCCTCCTCTTGCTCCCCTTACAGCCCAGATCTGGTCCTTTCTCTTCAGTCAAAGCCAGTGTCTGATAATACACCTGGCGGCCTCCTACAGTGACCTGAAAACCCTCAAACTCCCATCTCTTTCAGGGGCACTTGTGCTCTCCAGGCCAGACCTCTCAGATTTGTTGTCATGATCTCTGGTGGAAGGATGAGCTTCTAATCTAGATCCACCTGCATCTTACAGCCACAGGTTTGATTCCCTTACTTGTATCTGGAGGTTTTGGGTGATGGCGTTAGAGGACCCAGTAGTTTGGGGAGATGGGGCATTGGCAACAGTTCTCCTGTGATCCAGGATACCAGATACTGGATTGTGTTTCCAAGTATAGCGGCCTTGGGAAAGACAGAAGTTTTGCAGCCGGTAAGGATGCACCTTAAAAGGTCCCAGTTCTTAATGGATCCTCAGTAGGATGTCAGTTCTCATTACATGAGAAGAAGTAAAACAGGCTTTTTGTTGCTGGTTCTTTGATTCTGGGTAGTGGACCCTTTGTCCATAAGGTGACTACAGTGCTATGATCTAAATAAAGAAGTAACTGCTGAGCAGACTGTCAGGCGAGTGGCAGTGGTGGGAACACACCGAGGAGTGATGTAATTATTATCTGTCCTGTAAATAATGACTCACTGTGATGGAATGGTGGAACTGTCTCCTTATTCCATCACTGCCACAGGGGCGACACAAAAGCTCCACAGACACCAACAATAACAAACTGGTTTCAACCAGTGGACATTTTTACCTGATCTGAGATTTATTGATAACAACTGGAGGGTGACAATGGTTTGGGGTAATTAGAGGCCCACAGCTCACTTCGCTGGTTCATCCAGTCCTGACCGAGAGGACCGGTTTATGTTGGTGTTCTCGTTCACACAGGATTTCATTATGTCATTCAGGATTGTGATTGAGCAGGAAAGTTTTTAAAGGGTGAAATAATTTGTGTTTCTGCCTCCAATGAAGTCGACTTCAAGGGCATCATCCTTTCTCTTTTTTAAGGGCATAAAGAATATGAGGGAGCTGATAGAAATGAATGACTCACAACCACTGAAATGGTTGTTTGACATATAAATCATTCATTCATCCATTCATCCATTCACAAACTTTATAATAGTAAAATTTACTTGCATGGCAACTTTCATACAAGAAATGCAGCTAAGTGCTTTACAACAAAAACATTACATGTTGTAAGATAAGATTAATTAAGTAAAATAAATTGAATAATAATAAATAGAAAAAAATAAAAATAAAGTGTTGAACTGCACCTCAGCTGACAACATCTGAACTGCATTAAAGCCAAAGAGCTACATCAAGACAAAGGCAGACAGTAAAGATTTATTTATTGATGTATTTATAACTTTTATTTATATTCTGATGCATGTTAGAGAACGCATGTTCCTTTACAGCAACGCCCTATTTACAGTGAAAAGAAATGACCGGGAGGAAAAACACATGAAACACAGCAGAAGTTAGAAAACATGAAGCAGTTACAGACACGTACAAGTGTTTGGTTTTTAACTCAGACTGCTGCTCTAACAGGATATAGGTAGTTGACAAATAAATGATAAGATAAGCCTTTTTGTAAAACACCATTTTTAATGAAACAATACATATTTATTCATTCATGAATATAACGGGTCAATAACTTTGTCAATTTTGTTATTGTTTTTCGTTAGTTTTAGTAACGGTAATAACCCAGCCAAAAACAACTTCAATAATATATATATAGCATGAAAGAGATTTTCATACAGTTATTTATTTAAAATGAAATTATGAATAAGAATATTTTCCCCCATGACTTGTTGGACTTTTTCCAGAACTAATTAAAGACAAATGAATGATATATCTCCATCTATACTCAGTACTTATCTTTTTAAGATATCTTTGTAATAAAAAAACGTGTTGCATTAAAGAAAGAGTGAGAGGTTTCACATTAGGGTTTTTCTGTCTCTTCTCTCACTTATCTTCATGACATTTTTTAACAGTCGCCAAAACATTGTCTGGAAAAACAGCAGAAAATATTTTAATTTAATTATTGCTTTTTAAAACACTGAAAATTGTCAAAAAAACAGGAAGGAGTTAAACAAATCAGATCATTTAAAATGCTTCTTTAAGAGACCTTGTCCTCTTGTGTCACATGTTTGTCCTTTGACGTGACAGTAACAGGTATCACACCTGTGGACATTTTCGGTCACAGCAAAGAATGTACTGAGTCAGCAGTTAACCTTCTTATTACCTGACAATGGCAGGTAGAAGGACACATTTGCATGTTGTTCATCGCGCCCAAAACACAAAGCTATTTCACCTCTTTAAGCTGTGACGTCACCCACGAGGCCCTGGGGCGTGTCTCACAGGGACGGTTCAGTCTGGTCTGCCGTGTCGGGCCATCGGATCAGTCTAATGCTAGTGTCGTTTAACAGAAATCAAGACTGACTCATTTTTTAAAGCCAAAAACAATGGACACCGCACCCCCAGGCTAACTCAGGTTACCATGGTAACAATCAATGACGCCTATGCTGACCACCGGCACCCAACAGCAAAAAACCAGGAAAATATAGCTCGTAATTTATGGTTGGCTAACATTGCTATGGAGAGAGCAGCCAAATCTGATCTTTCTTTTATTGTTACACTCTTGAGACACACACAACAATCGATTATTAGATCAAAATCGACCCTCATTTGAGGTCGATCTTTTACACTCTCCTGTGGATGTGCTACAACGACTTCCGGTCAGGTGAGCGGAGGTGTGGAGCTGCCGGAGCTACGTTTTCGTAGCCTAGCCTGTTAGCTTAGCTAGCTGAGTAGATGTCTCCAACGCGGCTTCATTTGTTCGACGCAAGTCAGTAAATGTTTGTAAACCCGTCACCGTGGTAACAGTGGGTACATAACCTTTGAAACGGGCCGCAACTCAACCGTGCGCGTGCACCGTAGGAGCGCTCCGGTAAGTAAACAGACAGCACTACACCTCTGCACGCGAGAGACAGGTGAGGCCCCAATGAAGTCAGCGGCATCTCTTATTTCTTGAGATGCGTCCAAAGTGTTAGTCGTGTTAAATAGACAGTGCATTCATGTAACTGCTTCGTGTCCATTCGTAATATAAACATTAATGTTTTTAATAAAGCACCAGGTTAGAAGAACAATTTACAGCGTCAGTTCTCTGAGAATCTCATTCATATCCAAGAAAAACTGATGTAACTGAGAAATCTCAGACTGAATCAAATCAAATCGAATCAGGAAATCAGTGGTGATACCCAGCCTCGGATGTAATTGTTGGATTCTAACTAAAGACAAACATTTTCTGCTGGGGTAGCCTAAATGGAGCTCAGCGGTTGGAAGCATTTCTTGGTCTGCCATTTTTTTATTTTGAAACTAGTTGTATCCCTCCGCCACTCAGACTAGTTCCAGGTTACATCCCTGTTTATCCAGAGTCAGAGACAATATGAACCGTTAGTGTGAAATATTGTTGCTGAAATTGCTGTGAAGTCTTGAGTACTGGATAAAAAGTGCTTTGTGTGGTCATACTGACCTTGACCTTTGACCTTTGACCACCAGAATCTAATCAGTTCATCTTTGAGTCCAAGTGAATGTTTGCGCCAAGATATCGTTTCTCATCTCACTCTGCAGCCGGTCAGGATTCACCTCAGAGGTCCCGGTCCCTGATGGATCCTCAGCAGGAAGTCAGTTTCCGGTACATGAGAAGAAGCCGGTTACTGGACACTTTGTCCAGAAGGTTCCTGGACGAGAGAGAGAAAATCCAGTATTTAACCTTTAGACAGTATGTTTGTTGAATGACGTCCTTTATAAGTTCCCTAACCGTATAGTGACCACTACCTTGAGACCAGACATCATTCTCTTGTCCGAGTCCACCAAACTCGAGGTTCTGTTGGAGCTGACAGAACCTTGGGAAGACCGCTTGGAAGAGGCCTTTGAAAGGAAGCCAGGGCCTGGTACAGCCGGTCTCAAGTCGCCGCATGGAGCGCAAGGTTGGATTTTGGGGTTTGCCCAGAGCCTTCAGTTCGATGGGCATCGAAGGAGTGAGGAAGAGAAAAGCTCAATGGTATGCACATACACATATATGTGAGTATTTTTGCATATATTTGAGAAATATGCAATAAAAATAGCTTCTTTCGTGAAACGCCATTCTAAACACATGCGTAACCTACATATAGGCCTATAAAAGCACGCTGTACGTAACAAAAGAATGCGACTGAGCAGGAATGTTTAAAAGGTGAAATAACCTTTTGAAAGCATTCAAACGCCACATTCCTCAGTAGTACTCTAAACCTTCAAAGGCAGACTGATGGATGTCCAACTGCTGTCCTGAGGCTGTGTCATAACCTGAAATAGTTTTGTTGCGTGCAGTGTAGTTTTTGCCTCCAGCGAAGACGTCCATTCAGTGATGACATTCATGGACTTTAATGTCAATTGTCTGGTCCAAAGTAAAACTACGGTGGCCCTGAGAGCTCAGAGACCTGCAACTAAAGAAAACAAAACTAATTTAGAAAAACATCATCATCGGTTTGACATTAACACACGAGCTGCAAATACTCACAACACAACGGAAGTGTTTCCAGCGCACCGTGAAGAGGTATGCATATCATCCTCTCTCTCTCTCTCTCTCTCTCTCAGGAAACTATATTCTGATCTCTTGTTCAGTTCATTATTTCTATTTAATTATTATTTTAATGGCTCAACTTTATTTGTATTTCTCTTTCATGTTTTCTTATTTCAAAATTTCAATCCTGTTTGTTTTTGTGGTGAAAGGAGGATTTATAAATTTATAAATATTATAAATAAAGTTAATTAAAAGTGTAAGAGCAGATTCTCTTCTTTCCCTAACTCTTCATGAAGTCTCCTTCACGTCTTCCCTTGACCTCATGACGTTTTCCATCGAGGTCGAGGAGACGAGGTTAGAGAGGAGATCATTTCGACCGCAGCCCAAGTGCGTTCCAGCCGGGTGCATCACTTTTTAGTATCCCCTGGAAACACTTCTGTTGTGATGTGAGTGTTTGCGGCACACGTGTTGTCAAGTTGATGAAGATGTTTTCTTAATGTGCAGTGCGTTGAGCTCTCTGGGCCACTGTAGAAAACACATGCAGACGTATTTAAAGAGTTTTGACCATGCACTTTGGAAGCAGGTGAAGTTGATGTTGGCAGGTTGATAATCCAGATTTGTGTGCGGTTCTCGCTCAGGGTTCCCGCTCTTTTCTGCAAATCATTTTCCTAGACTTTTTCAGTGATGATCGAGCTCATGTGACAGACAGGAATCACTCCGTACACCAGTATGTACGTACGTCAGTGGGTGATGTTCTGCTGGGAAACCTGCCCTTCATGTAGATGTTACTTGACACGTACCACCTACCTGAACATCGCCGCAGACCGAGGTCACTCCTTCGATGGAGCATCTGTGGGGTGTGCTGGACAAACAAGTCAGACTCAGGCTCAGTGTCTGAATACAGGCTGCGTGCGTTTCACAGTATTAATATAGAACCTAGAGCAAAGAACACTTTACAGAGACACCATGATGTTACTTTAAAACATTTATTCTGTTTTCACCAGGACAATAATCTGAGTACTGTCATTCACATCATCATCATCATCATCATCATGGAAGGGGTGGGATGCTGACAGCTGTGGCGGAGAGTCAGTGAGCATGTGTCAGCAGGAAGCTCAGGTCAGTACCTGGGTCGTACTCCGCCGAGGACTTCCCCCTGAAACGACAAAGACAGCACGGTGAGAACGGCCGGTTACTGGTTTTACTGGTCTGCTTCCAGGCTGTCGTGGGCTGACCTGGTGAAGAGTCTGGCCTTGGTGGTTCCCAGTAAAGTGGCTTTGTCTCCCTCCACCAGCAGCATGGACCCCTCCCTCAGACCCTGAGAACACAAACAAGACCACTGGTAACCCTCTAATGAAGGTCTGTATTAGTCGGCCACAAACAAAAACACTGAGGGACCTGACGTGGAAAACACACACAACCGTGAACCATTTCCAGCTGACCAGTCCGTCCTCTTCTCTGTTCTGGTTCCACAGTGGAGCAGTCCAACCTTTCATAACTGACCAAACCACGTCAAAGCAACCTTTACTTTATTATTATTATCGTTCTTGCAACGTCGTGGCTTCGTTTTCAAAATCTTATCACTTCTTATTCTTTTCTCTTTTTTTTTTTTTTTTTTTTTTTTTTTTTTTTTGCAAAAAATTACAACAAATTTAATCTTCAAATATTTGATTTCTGCTTAAATTCTTGTCTGTTAGCGAGGAGGAGGAGTTTCAGCATCAAAGTGGACAACAGGTAAAACTAGGAGATGTGGCTGGTCTCACCAGGACACATGGAGTATCAGGCTCTTCATGGTACTGGGTGATCCTCTGCTCTCTGGTCTCCTGTAACAACAGGAACAGTGCGGTACATCACGGGATGGTCACGCCTCAAACCAAACAGGGCTGATGCTCAACGTGTAGCATCTGATTAGCTTAGCTGCGGTTCAGCGGAGCCGCAGCTGCACATGTTAATATCTTATTTCAAGTACAGTTTTTAACTTTATTTTCTTTATTTTTGTTTGAAATGCAGCTTTTATAAAATATATATGTACACAAAGACAGTTTGATATACAGTACATGAATCTACAACTCAGCCTCATTAGTGATTAATCTGCTGATTATCTTCTCCAGTAATTATTGAACTGTTGCACTGTTTCAAACGATCTGTATCTGTAATCAGACCCGACAAAGATCAGCATGCAGCCAACATCTGGATTTTCTGCTTGAAACCACTAAAACATTGAATTGATTATCAAAATATTTGTCCGACTAAACTAATTAATTACAATAACAACGCAATAAATAGAGAAAGAGAAAAAATGTATAGATTAATGCAGGAGGACATGATTGATTTGTTAGGTGTGACACCTCCACTACGGTCATCAACTCAAACCGCTGGTGACCACAGGGGGGCGTCCTCCTACAACATACAGCATGACCTGGACACAGAGGCATGCTGGGAAACAGCAGCCTGAGAGAGGTTGTGTTTTTATGTAATTAATCAGCAGCTACTTTGATCTTCGATTATTCATTTATCAAACACAAATATCACATATTCTTTATCTGTTTGATTAGAAACTGAAGTGAAACTGACACCTGCTGATGGACGGTTTTCACTAGTTTTTATGACATTAATAATAATAACTTTATTTATAGAGCATTTTTAAGTTTTTTTTGGGCTTTTTTGTGCCTTTAATGGACAGGACAGTAGAGAGACAGGACAGCAGAGAGACAGGTGATGGGGAGGCAGAGGGGGGGGGGTGACACGCAGGAAAGGGCCGTCTGATGCGGGAGTCGAGCCGGGGGCCGACTGCAGCGAGGACTGTGGCCTCTATATATGGGGCGCCTGCGTAACCCACGGTGCTACGCGACGCCCCTTATAGAGCACTTTTCATACAAGAGATGCAGGTCAAAGTGCTTTACAATAAAAAACAATCAAATAGTCCAATAAAATGAGGGCAGATTGAAGGACAATGAAATAGATTGATAAAGATGATAAAATGTGTAAATGAAAATAAAAACAAACCAATAAAATCAAACGATCAAAAGAAATAATCAATCAACCATCATTGTAGCTAATAAAAGTGATTTATGAAAGCAGAAAGGTGATTGTGGTGACGATAGCAGCAGCAGGGGATTATGGGATGGCTGATTTAAACACCCACGGATTCAAACTGGTCATTTCTGCGGTGGAATGAAAAAGCAGGAAGCCTGTAGGTCAGCGTGCTGACACTGTGCTTACGTGTTGCACAACTTCCTCAAAGTAACTGAGCCTGGCTGTGTGGACTAAATGTGTGTTTTCATGTCACCACAGTTTCTCTCGTCAAACAAGCGTCTTCCGAGTTGGATTCATCAAACTCAGAAACGGCTCATTTTCAGACGATTGATTGTTGCCGCCGGTTTATCACCATTTCAACTTGAGGCGTCCGTACGTCCCGTTGTCGTGGACGCCGTATCTCAGTAACCTCTTCAAATGTGGCACAAACACTCACGAGGACTCAAGGATGAAATGATTAGATTTCGGTGGTCAAAGGTCAAAGTTTCATGATCTCTCACATACCAAGCTTCGATTGGACCTGAGGCCAGTGATAAAAGGACTATGATGACACGGCAGGTTCTTGACCAATCAGTGCAGGCGTCATTATCACCCCGTGTGAATGAGGTAAAAGCCAGCAAGACAAAGACTGTTGGTGAGACACTGTGTTTTACTGCATCCTTATCTCTACAGAACATCAGTGTGAACAGCCTACCTGTGATAAAGTGTCACCTGTGGTTCAGGTAAATCAAGGCCTTCACATGAAGCCACTGTAAATCTTCAATCCAAAGGAGTCAAGGCAGTCTGTTGCAGAGATCACAACTGTACAGCAAATATGAAGCTACCACCGGGGACAGTTAGCTTAGCATAAACACTGGGAAACAGGTAGCCTGGCTCTCAGCACCTGTAAAGATCACTGATTAACATTTTTCAGTCTACATTAAAAAGCCAAACTGTAGCTTTCAGCTGAAACGTTGACCCAGGTATCTTAGCAGAACCACGGCGTGTCAAGGTGTCAGCAGCTGCGTTAAAGTCTCATCAGATTCAGGATTCTCAGGATCTCAGCTCCTGACATTCAAACTGCTGCAGAATCTCCCCACTTCTTAGGAGTCGGTTCTTAGACCTGGTTCATCTAAACAACTTGGACTTACTTGGACTTTATTGGTGCTTTGAAGATTGTGGAAGAGCCTGATTTGTCTGTATGGTAAATGATGACTGATCAAAAGGATCAATCATTTCCTATGAAGTCCGGTCTTGGGTTTTTCTCACTCACCCCCATGTGGCGGCTGCTGGGGTCGGGGTCCAGGTAGTGAGGGTTGATGTTGAAGGGGATGAGGCCGATGGCGGAGAAGGACGGAGGGTAGACGATGGGCATGTCGTTGGTGGTGTTGATGCTGACGGTGGCCACGTTGGTGCCGGCGCTGGAGCCCATGTAGGGGACGCCATCCTGGGGGGGGGGGAGACATAAAGGAGGGAAGGATGATAAGGAAGGAGGTGTCAGTCATTAAGTCATTATTTTGAGTTTCTCCGTTTTGAGACACTGAGTCGTTGTTTTGAGAAAGTTTCTCATCATAATGATTCACAGGATCTTTTTTTTCTAGCTGGAAAACTATTTTTATGCCTCTACACCGGCAGCAGACGGAGCAGGAGCCATATTGTTTTGAGGTTGCCCGTCCGTCCCATTATTCAAGACACAAATGTTTAATATTTTCTATGACTGGATAAACAGGGATGTAATCTGGAACTAGTCTGAGAGGCGGAGGGATACGACCACAAGGTCGAAATACTAGTTCTAACTGTTTCTGTGCTTCAGTTTTTGGCTGATGTTGACACATCTGCGCTCAGCTGATATCGGCCTCACCTCCAGCACTCTCCTCCTGATCTCCGTCACCACCTTGTTGTCATAGAGACTCTTCAGCAGCCGGAAAGTGTTACCTCCTCCTGCGAAACACACACGACCATGATTATATGACGTGACCACGCTGCGGACGAACTGAGAGGACGGGCTGCTGTGAGGAGTGAAGGAAAGGACGCAAGAAAGCAAGGGAGGAGGTAGGAGGAGGGAGGGAAGGAAGGAGGAGTGATAGGAAGTAAGGAAAGGAAGAAGATGAAGAAAAGAAACGGGGCAAAGAAAAGGAAAAAAGTAAAAGGGGAAGCTGCACAGAGCTGCCTTGCCGTACTCTTCCTCACCTATAAAAATGCCTTCAGCCTTCCTCACGGCGTCGACGGGGTCCGAGGCCTCGTGGATGCCGTCCACCTCATAACCTGCAGGGGCCAAACACCTTTCAGTTCAATCAGTCTGTCCTGATAATGTCACACATACACTCACACACACCTACCCAGAGTCTTAAACTTGTCCCTGGCGGTTTTGGTGTAGGCATCTCTGTCGTGGAGAGCATAAGGAACGAACAGCACTCTCTTCACATCCCTGAAATACACAAACCACCAGTCGCCATGTTTGTCAATGTGAAGCTCCGGTTTCATTAGATTAACATTATAATAGTAATGGATAATGATAATGGATGAAATCTTTGTTCCATTCACACTCATATGCCGAGTCTCTCCACACCAATCTGGTATTTTAATGATCCTTTATCATTTAATACAAACGATTAAAACACTAATAATGAACTGCTGCTTGTATGCCGAACTTTACCACATGACTACTGACTTACATTTCACTATCAAACCTATCCAAAGAGAAATGTATGTTTGCTGATGAATATGGAGATTTTAGATTTCTGACCCGAAATCGCTATTTGATTTTTCCACACAGCAGTAACACTGATTCTGTTTTAACACATACAGATGTTTGACTTAAATACTTTTTTTTTTCTTACATTGTCCATGTTCTAATTACACTCCAATGCCAATGAAATCTCTCCACACCAAACCCCATTGTAAAATCTGGCATTTTAATGATAACTTACTATGAACTAAACCTGACATAGCATAATTTAAGTTGTTTTTTTTCAATTAAACATTTATAACATAGCACTACTTGTATGCCGAACTTTACAAGAAAACTAGTGGTACACAGAAGATATTGAGCCTTGATCATAGAGAGGTGAATCTTTGCTAAAGAACGCTGAAATATTTAATTGTTAATTTTTTGAACGGAATTCGCTGTTTGATTTTTCCGCACCTTGACACTGTGACACTGTGACTTACTTCCCGAAGAAGTGTGAGATGTGCTGCTGACAGTGGTCCAGGTAGCCGCTGCCGTGCAGCGTGGAGTTGGACACCAGCAGGAGTCTCCTCTTCATCTCTGGACAGCAGGTGCACACAGACTCAGCTCAGCCCGAGACACAGAGGACAAGCCGCGGAGCTGCGGGGTCACAGTTCAGCTGTGAATCCGCTGACAGCAGCTCTCTGACGGGCAGTAAACACTGATATCACCCCTGAGGGATTCCGCTTTAAAACCCTCACACCAAATCCCAGCTGGACTTTTCTACTTCGAAGTTTCACTTTCACCCAATCAAAGACTTTGCATCAAAAGTAGTTTCATGTTCCACCAGCGGCGACAACAACTTCCGGCCCAAGTCTTTCTTTTTCAGAATAAAAGCATATCTTTTTCTTCTTCTTGATGTTTTTTAAGCTGTTGGCGGTGAATTACCGCCACTAACTGGTCAGAATAAGAATTATCATTTTCAAATGTTTCATTATTCAAAAATTTTCCATTTCAATTATTAAAACTATTAAACATTGAAAATGGAGGAAACAGTCATAACTTCTGAGATAAAATACATAGTAAAATATGAAAAATACCATGAAATTAAAATGATATACATGTTACATATCAATAAGGATAATGAAACAAAAATAGTAAAAGAAAAGTATTTCAAAGGACTGACTATATACATAAGGGTAAACAAAAACAGATATTAAAGGAAAATATTTAAGGCTTCACAAGTTTCTACTGTTTTTATTGCTTTACTTCTTCTTTAGTCCGTGTAGTGAATCAAAACAGCGTCCGACTATTATTTGGAATTGCTGCATGTGTGGTTTCATTTTAGTCCATTTGTATTTTCCATATAAAATAGAGATTAAAAATAAATGTTTATATTTTTACAATCAATATCATTCTTATCAAAAAAAATGTAACGTCTCTTTTTTCTAAATTAATAGTTGAACCAGTCAGCATCTTAAAGAAAAATTATACATCTAACCAAAACTATTTAATAGATATGCTCAGGTTTGTAATTGTAAAAAACAATAGTCTTGAAAGCACCATGTGTACAGGACAAATCAAGTGTATAATTTTAAATGAAACTTTTCTAATTTAGTTAATAACACAATATTTCTTTTTATGGTTCCAAACGTTTTTTCCATTTAAAGTCTCCTTATATGACTGTTATTACATTTTTTTTGTCCGTGAAGCATCTGACAAAGCTTTGCAGACATAAACACATGAAAGTGAGCTGCAGTGATGTCATAAATCTGCGTCCAGGTGTCAAGCTGAGCAACAGGTTTTGACTTACTAACTACTAACTAATCAACCATGACTGAATAATAACATCAGAGGTTTGACTGGAGTTCGTGGGAAACCCATAAAATGTTGCTGCTGGACATCAAACCTGTGAAGTTAAAAATAGAAACACAGTATTGTGTGTGTGTGTGTGTGTGTGTGTGTGTGTGTGTGTGTGTGTGTTCACTGATCCCTCGTATCACTGCTTTCATTATGACCTGACTAACGAGCTGGAATAAGCCTGTTAGTGTTCACCCTCCATTTCAGCTTCACTCTGCTTTGTTATCGCTCGATATAATCACAAGAATAAATACATAAAAAGAAAGTGATGATGATAATAATACAGAGAAAATTATGAACAGTGGAAATAAAAATAAAATCCTCATATCTTGTGTTCCCTTTTACCCTGTGTAACATTCATGTCATAAAAAATGATGTATTAGTTATGATATTTTTTCTCCTTGTCTCATTTTTTTGTTATTAGTTAATTGTTATTATGATTACATATAAATGTCATAATCAATGAGTCTGTTGAAACTGATGAAAACAGTCATAATGATGATACTACTGCTACTACTACTACTAATAATAATAATAATGATAATTACTATATGATGACAGGTCATACATTTACATACTGAGAAAATAAATGTCTTTGAGCAAAATATAAAATAAAAATTATAATCAAATAAATGAATAAAATTAGTGAATGCTCAGACAGACATGGCATTTTATTTATAATTTTAAAAAATTAAATTATTTATTTTTGTTATGTATTTATCAAATTCATCACATAGATATTGTTAGTCTATGTGCATATATATTTTTTACTATGGGCATTTCATATATGTCACACATAATACCCATACATGATGATGCTGATATATGATTTCTATATAGAAATTAAATATATATATATATATATATACATATATATATGTATGTAGTACTGGTATATATATTCATATTGTATGGGTGAAACATGTTCCAATAATCGATGAATGGTTGGTGAATGTTTGACTGCTGATCTGGATCAACAGAAATCCAACACCTCTGGGTTTCACCCTGGGAACCAGCAGAGATCTGCCGCAGAGAGTCAGTGGAAACACGCAGCCAGAGAGGCAGCAGCAGCGGCGGCAGCGGTGGGCGGTGCTAAACCACATCTGGATGAAAAACATCTGGATTTCTCTCTGAGCATACATGACCGACCGACAGACTGACGGACGGACTGACCGAGCGCCCCTGAGTTTCTCCGGCTGACTTTGCCCGCAGATGATGGCTCGGTGCTGGACGTTTTGGACCGGGATCCTAGTCCTCATGACCGCCGGTGAGTGCTGCCTGATCTCCGGACTTTTTTCTCTCTTTTCCTCGGGGCTGTTTGCGGAGGTTTGGAGGGAGGGAGGGAAGGAGGGAGGGATGGAGCGAAGACGTTTGGTTTTAGAGAAAGTTCAGATCCTCTGTTCAAATTAAACAGATTACAGTGTAAAAACAATAGGGACCTTTTCAAGTTATAGTTCTGTTAAAGTAAAAGTTTTCTCAGCTTCATGAAGAATCAGTACTGGAACTACATGAAGCTGATAGTTGGCTACTTGTGTACTTGTACTTCATGAAGGACTGGTACTTGTAATGTAACAGTGTAGTACTGGTTCTGGTAAATTAGTAGAGGCTCAAGTTCTTATTCCAGCATCATGCAAGTGCTGAGTTCACACCAGACGTCACAAGGCAAAGTGACTCCATCATGGTTTGTTGTTTGGTGAGTTCTTCCCACAGCGAGCAAGGTCCAGGTCCAGGTCTTTAACTGAGAGACTGAGCTTCAGTCCAGAGTCCAGATCTGAGCTCACTGTGGTCAGCTCAGATATTGACCTTTGAAAGCTTTGATCAGTGATCAGTAACAGTCAGAGGAACAAAAACACATTTTTTTGTAAATTAACAACAGTAACTGCTAAGTAAACAAAACGAGACACAGAACAATCAAAAAAGGACACAAAGTGACTACAAAGAGACACAAGGTGACTGCAAAGAGACACAAGGTGACTGCAAAGAGACACAAAGTGACCACTAAAAGACACAAAGTGACCACAAAGAGACACAAGGTGACTACAAAGAGACACAAAGTGACCACAAAGAGACACAAGGTGACTGCAAAGAGACACAAATTGACTACAAAGAGACACAAGGTGACTATAAAGAGACAAAGTGAATACAAAGAGACACAAAGTGACTACAATGAGACACAATATGACTACAAAGAGACACAAAGAGACAAAGTGACTACAAAGAGACACAATATGACTACAATGAGACACAATATGACTACAAAGAGACAAGGTGACTACAAAGAGACACAAAGAGACAAAGTGACTAAAAAGACACAAGGTGACTACAAAGAGACTAAATGACCACAAAGAGACACAAAGTGACCACCAAGAGACAAAGTGACTAAAAAGAGACAAAGTGACTACAAAGAGACACAAAGTGACTACAAAGAGACAAAGTGACTGAAAAGACACAAGGTGACCACAAAGAGACAAAGTGACTGAAAAGAAACACTAAGGGACTACAAAACGACCACAAAGACACACAAAATAACAACAAACAGACAGCGTGTCTCTTTCTGTCTGGGTGTGCTCCTGAACAGGAGGAGTAGGGGTTTGGGTTTCAGGTCTAAGCGCTGTCTTGTAGTCCCTCCATGGGTTCAGATCAGGACTCAGGTCGGTCCAGTTCTTCATGGAGCTGCTTTGTGTACGGGGGTGTTGTGGTGAAACAGTGAAGAGACAAACACAAACACACAAACTTTAATGTCTCAAACATCAGTGAGGATCCACCTGTAAATTATTCATCAAGATTCAACAGTATCAGGAAACAGTTTATCCTCTTGTCTGAGGTGAAACAGCAGCTGTGACAAACATGAAGCTTGAAGAGAGGGAAACAGGTGATGATGATGAGGCTGAACCTTCCTCACATTAATACATGAACATTTCACTCATCAGTTACACAGTAAGAAAAAAGCCTGATCCAGTATTTACAAATACACCCAGCCATCCTCCACTGTGGCCACATCTGAGTCCCAGTAGGAACCAGTCAGTTTGACTGGTACCTTAAACCTGCTGTAGCATTAAGATTTGTCTTCTTTGAAACCAATAAGTCCAGAACAAACCAGGACAAACAGACCCAGAAGAAAAGTCCACAGAAGTATGTGTCCACATACCTTTGGCCATAAAATAAACACAAACCATGTAGGTTATTTTCTTTGCTGCAACTGGCAATGTTTCTCCTGAGTGCAATGACATTGCAAGAGCCGGTAACGACACTGATGGAGCTGGTAATGGCACTGATGGTATGACTGGAAATAAGACCCAATGAATTAGACTAAGCAGAAATTGGACCCGACCTGACTCAGGTCTGAGATCATGACCTGTGCAGACCTCTACTCAGTACTGAGCCTCTCTTCATTTCTGGTGTGTTAAGTAGCTGGAGATGCAGCTCTATGGACGACAACAGATATATTATTGAAATATTACTCAGATCATCTGTAAGATCATAAATATACATCTACTTTTCTAATAAACCAAACTAAGAGACAATATGGCCGCCACGGCCAAGACTCAAACACAAGGTAACAGATTGAACAAAAGTCTGGTTACAACTGTAAATGTGTTTAATTCTGTTGAGTGGTAGAAGTAAAGAAAATGTCTGAGGTCAGCCCCCACCGAGGGCTAATGTGTGGGGGTCCAGGGATGGTCGACAGTGGACCAAACCACTGAGGCAGAAGAGGAGAGGGACGCAATCATCCAAAACTTAAAAACATATTATTTTGAATCTATAATTAGCAGCAGTGTGTTTAATGCAAAATTTATTTTTTTTGTATATATTGCTATGTTTAAAGGGATATATTGATGGGGACAATTCTCAGTTTCTCTCAGAAAGTGTGTGTGTGTGGGGGGGGGGGGGTCCAGACCCCCTGTTCCCCCTGTAATCTCTACCCATTGTTGGATGGATTGTCATGAAACTTTGTTCAGATGTTCATGTTCATGTTCCCCTCAGGATGAACCATAATAACTCTATTATTCTCTACTACTACCATGATTTGTGTTCACTTCTAATTAGAAAATGTTCACATGCTAACATGCTAAGCTAAGATGATAAACAAGGTAAACAAAGCCAAGGTCACTTCATATAATTTCAACTTTAATCACAAGCAGCTGGGTGGGAACACATCTGATAAAATGAATTGACCTGCTACAAATATATAATAATATAATATAATAATATAATAATATAACAACAACAGACGCTAATTTAAGCTAACAGGTTTGAATGACGTGTTCTTCCTGTTCTAGTGAAGAGTGATTTTAAAGAGGAATGAGCTGAACTGACAGAGAGGAAAAAGCTTCCTATTATATCACATCTAACAAAGAGCGAGTGTATGTGAAACATCTTATGAATAGCCACACACACACACACACACACACACACACACACACACACACATATACACTGGCGTCTTGCCGTTGTCTTAAGATGTTGGAGAGGAGAGAGACTGGCACTGAAAGAAAGTGTGTGTTTGTGTGTTTGTGCTTCATTTGTGCTAATGAGGACAGAGAGGTGACGTGGAGATGGCCTGATGACTCTGAGGCCTCACACACACACAAACACACACATTCATCATCATTAGTGCAGCTGATGATGTGCTCTGCTGTTAAGACTCAGTCGCTCCAGAACATGGTCCAGCAGAATCCCTGTGTGTGCCTCAGTATCTGGTTGGAGCAGTAGGTGGAGCAGTGACCTGTGACCTGGACTGGAGTGGACTGGACGGACATTCGTTCTCATGACTGTTCATGTCTTCAGTGGATACAGAGTCACTGAGGAGGGACAGGGCTAGCTTAGCTTGGTTGCTAACTTACTGTGTGTGACTCATGTCTCAGTTTAAACTCTGACAGAGGTGAGTTAAATTAAATCCCATGGTGACCAGTTCTGCCAGATCCAGATCCAGATCCACCTAACCTTTGTCACCCACTTGTATAAGATGCATATGATGTAATGAGTCTTTGGGTTTGCCGTAGATTCAGTCAGTTATACTGTGGTCTGCAGCTCACTTTCTTTTTTTCCACCTTTTATTTGTTCACATTTTGGATAATTAAATATGCTGAATCAGCTGCACGTCCTTTTGAATTGATGGATTAATTTCTCCCTTTGTACACCAAAGCTAGAATTACCGGCACACAGTTGTATGACCTCACCACTTTGGCTAGTGTCCGTTTATCCACAGTCATATGAAATATGAACCATTTGTATGAAATTTTGTCATAATTTCTTGGGTTAGGTTTAGAGTTAACCCTAACCTTGAGTTATGGCTAAGAGGTTTTATGTTAGGGCACACTGACCTTGACCTTTGACCTTTGACCACCAATGTCTAGTCAGTTCATCCTTGAGTCCAACTGAACGTTTTTAAACGTTTTATATTTGAAGAAGTTCCCTGAAGGTGTCACCAAGACATCGTGTCAGCAAGAATGGGGACGGATGGAAAACCTGAAAACAAAATGGCGACATCTACTGGCCAGAATGTAAAATAGAAAAATATAAACATTTCAAACTATCAGTACAAGGAAAACCATGATTGTTTCTTTATTCTAATCAGACCTTTATTGTAATTATTGTAAAAAGAATCAACATATGTCCTTGAAAAAATATATTTCAATAAACTTAAAGCATCTATAATAAATTCCCTCTGTTATGCTCTGTCCATCAGTGTTATTAACCTAAAACTATGAGATATCATTTCTCTCAGAGGTCTCATGTCGCAGTCGCTCCAAAATTTAAACCGCCACCAAAAGCAGTTTTTTTTTTTTTTTAATTGAAAATGTTGGGAACAGTTTACTTGTGAACAAACATTATATGTCTTTATTGCTTTTCTATTTGTGCCTGTGCATATGGCTGATATATATTTTTCAATTTCAATGATGAAAGCGGGAAAGAATGATTTATTATTTGAGAATTTACTCTTATGAGCGTGAACAGTCAGGTGGTACAGACGAGGGGCGCGGCTTCACATGTCATCAGTTACATCATGCGCCTAAAATGATACACGCATTGGATCGGTACGCGCTTCACCGGAAATGCGCAGCTGCACTCGACACACACTTTGAAGCCTCGACGACTCACGTGACATCACGGGTGACAGGTGTGTTTACAGGGTCGGAGAAGGGGCTAAACTCCGCGTGTTCATCCGGGAGACATGTTTACATCACCGTTTATCGGAGCTGGAGCTGATCAACACCTGAGACTACTGCAGAGTCACGTGACCCGGGAGTGAACACTGATTGCTCCTGTTCACACTGATGGCAAAAGCCGGATGTTAGCGTGCGTTAGCGTGCGTTAGCAGGTTTGTTTGTCCAGTGTGAAAGGAGAAAAGGATTCTCTGTGAGTTCTGCTCCGATGGACATCAGATAAAACAACTTCCTGTAGCTTCATATTAAACAGTGTCAGTCTGATCATGTGACACTCACAGGAAACATGTTTCCTGACAGGAGCTGTACGAAGCTTCATATGTGCGTGCGTGCGCGCGTGTGTGCGTGTGTGTGTGTGTGTGTGTTTCTCATAGCGAGGGCCTCCTCCTCCGAGCAGCATGGAGTGCTTCGATTTCCCATGAGCCTTTGAGGGTGGAGTGTTGGATACTAACTTGGCTCTGAAAGTAGATCACTTCTGGCTTCAATTTATTCCTGGAGAAACACGCACGCACGCACGCACGCACACTGCTCTAAACAGACTCACTGCCAGCTTCACACAAAAACATACACAACTGTTACACACATGTAGAGACTCTATTGTCTCTCTCTCGCGATCACACACACACAGACACACACACACACACACACTGCTGATTTTAATTACACCGAGCGTTTTGCTTCTCCAGCTCTTTCAGTTTTCTTCCTTTGTCTTCAGCTCTGAGACATCTGGATCAACTCCTGCTGTGTGTGTGTGTGTGTGTGTGTGTGTGACACTTAATGAAATGTTGTGTTTATGTGTATAACCCTGTATGTGTGTGTAAAGTATATATAATCATGTGTTATTGTGTATTTCGATGCTTGTTTATGCAGATATACAACGGATGTTTCTGAGTGTGTGTGTGTGTGTGTGTGTGTGTGTTTGTGTGTTTGTCATCTGGGTATGATCACTGGAGTTGCTGTGATGTGGCCGAGCATCACACACACACTTTATAAAGCTGAACACAAATAGTAAAGTACACAACAACACACACAGTAACAGAGAGCAGGGTTGTGTTGTGTGCTGCAGTACAGTTAGCTGCACGCTAACAGTTTTGGCTAATGAGCTTCAGAGGGACACACCCACTTCCTGCTGCATGGTCATCTCATGTGAGGCTGAACGTGGCAGAGCAGATGTCTTACCCCAGCAGCACGTATACACACACACACACGCACACACACAGACACACACCAACACACACAGACACACACACACATATATAAGAATATTCAGGTATAATTATAGTGGCAGCTAATGGCAGCAGGAAATTATTTGTTTTACACTTTCCTCCTGGCAGGTTGACCACGCCCACTTCAAACTTGGTCAGAAAGTGATTTTTACCTTGATGATGCTTCAGTGTGAAAACTGTGAGTTACCGTTGAAAGGCGTGACTGTGGCGTCATGGCGACTTTCGATGTTTCGCCACAAAAGTTGTTATAACCCAAACATACATTGTCTGATCTGCTCCGAACGTAACGTGTGATGACAGTCTCACACTGATGACATCTACATGGTAATATGACATCATAGCCAGAGCGCTAACTGAAAACAGGAAGTAGCACTTGAGTTACAATCATCATTTGTTTTACATCACGTTTTCATCTGGTTTATACTGATATACAGGAACATCGTGTACGTCTGGTGCGTGTTCTCTAGCGCCACATACTGGACACAAGTGGTAATACAAAACACACAATGCATCATGTCCACAGCCCGAGCAGGAAGTAACATCTTACTCGTAAGGCTGCAGTAACCTGTTCTACAGTTTCTTATCCACCATGTCTGACCTCACCTTCCTCTCTTTCACCCTGCAGGTCTTCCAGGTGTCGTCCAGTCTTTCAGCCACCTGAGCTTCAACCTGTGTAAGTGGTGTGAGGTGTCCAGTCCGGTGTGTAAAGACAGCGTCTGCATGAGTAACTGCACCCTGTCGTCCTTCTGCACCGTCATCGAGGAGATCTGCATCGCCATATGGTGAGTGGACCCTGAAGTTTTGTTACCTTCATGTGGCGGATGTGACTTTCAGTAGGAGCATTCAGACCATGAGGGAGCAAGAGCTGGATCCCATCTGATTTAAAACATGACCAGTGCTCAGACTGGTTTATTCTTGTTTTTATTCCTCAGCGCTGATGACAGTCAGAGCAGGAGCCATTTTGTTTTCAGATTGTCTGCCCGTATCTCAGTAACACCTGGATGGACCTTCTGCAAATTTGGCACAAACATTCACTAGGACTGAAGGAGGAACTGATTAGAATTTGGTGCCTAAAGGTCAAAGGCAAGGTCAGGGTGACCTCGCAAAATGCGGTTCTGGCCTTGTGAATGTGATACGTCGAGAACACAAAAGGTGTTTTGGCGGAGGCGTAGAACCGTGAGGCGGTAATTCTAGTTTCTTTTAGAGAAACAAGACGTAAATAAGAGCCGACATGTTTTGTGCAGCAACTCTGTTGTGTTTGTTTGTGTTGGTGTGGAAGCTGTGGTGCGGTGTAAACAACCAGTCGGCGTCAGTTTTCCATGTGAACCTGAACAACCATTGACCCTCTGATGCGACCCACAGCAGTGTCTCCTGAAATAGCGCCACTAGGCACCCCAAGCGTGTCGGACCTTGGTTGTCAAGGTTACAATAATAAATAAACGGACTGTGGTGAGAGCAGCGTACCTAGCCTCGACGCCATGGTTACTATAGTAACGGTCACGGCTTGGTTAGGTTTAGGAAAGGTTGGTGGTTTGGGTTAAAATAAGTAATTACCTCAACATTAGATGATCTTTGTCGTCATGGTTACAACATAAACAGCTGGTTTCATATGGGAATCGAACACACGGCTCTCCTGTGTCACATTCATCCGTCCACCTCTTCCTCAGGATGTGGACTTTGTCTCTCTTTATACTACGTGACTGACACTTTCCCCTTTGCTCCTGTCATCATTATTACGACCACTAGATGTCGCCTAGCAACAAAACCTAACTATGATGTCACAATAACCTGCTGCTCAGACGACCTTTGATCTTTAGCTGCTGCTCCTTAGTAAAAGCTCTCGTGGCTCCAGATCCTGGTGTGGGGAGAAAGCAGTCTGAGCTTCGGCTGACTGATGTGCACAGACTCCGTCACCTTTACTTCAAGCTCCTTGTTCAAACTGAATCATTTGTAGAGATAATGAGGAAAGTTTTTCATCCTAAAGAGAAACCATTGCCATAGTGACGTCCTCCTGTGTCCCTGAAGTCTTTGTGTTTTGATTCGTCCTCCTGTCTTTGTTTGACTTAGTGATTGAGTGTGTCATCCACTCTGTCCTGGTCTTGTTCTTGTTAAAGACCAAGAAAAAACAACATGTCCTGTCTGTAGCGTGCCATAAAAATGTGGGAGTATTGACATGCACTGGTTTCCCATGAGCCAGTCCACCACAGTACAGCTAAGCTGCTTCAATATGTTGTTGTCAGCATTATGAAACCTCCTGAGGTGGTTTCTCTCGACTCGCCACTGTGTCAGAAACAGACAAACATTTTTCTTCTGGCTTGTTTTTCCCGTCAGAGCTGAAGCGTGATGACCCTCACCCACTCCACCGCCGTCGCCTTCTCCAGGAGCAGAAAGTTTCTGCTGATTCGTGTCTTTTGTTTGGATAATAGTGCTAGGCTGGGACCCCCACCCCCCTTGCTGCACCCCTCTCATTTCCTGTTCACGTCAGCTGGTCCTACCCTCCCAGCTTTCTGCAGGAAACCAGTGATAAGGGAGAAGTGACGGAGAGGAGAGGAGAGGGAGGGAAACAGCCGTTTATTCAGGTCAAAGTTGACAGGGATCGAGCTGCTCAGACTGACTGTGCTGAGAGTTCACTCAACAAGAAGATGTTTGAATCATATTCACAAATCTTCCTCTCCGACCTGCACAACCTTCACCTTAAAGCTCCTCCAGTGTAAAGGTCTGTGTCCATGTGTAGTGTGATTATAGATCAGCTCTAGCTTCTATATTAATACTGTGAAAGTATCAAAGCCTCAGTCCACAGAGAAATTTTCCACTTAAGTTTTCCACTTAAGTATGACATCTAAGGCTTAATTTCTCCTAAGGGAGTTACTTAAGGGTATCTTTAAAGATTTCCTTAGTTAAGGACAAAAAGTTAAGAAATTTGCAGCAATGAGAGAGTTTTTACTGTGGTAAAATTCTACTGTTTCCATGGGGACCATTCATTTGCTGCCATTAGCATTTGTGACACTTCACCACGACGAACTTTGATCACTAAGGTCTTTTGTGCAGTTTAACTGACTTTAAGTGATTCCTGAAGTTTAAGACTAAGATAAGGAGGAAACCTTAAATACTTAAGTGAATATTTTAAGGAGAAGACTCAAGGGTGTTTTTGCAACTGTTTTTATTTGAAGGAAACCTCGCCTCAGACTTGAGGGAAAATCTTAATTTAAGATGTTTTGTACAACTGGCCCCTGAGTTTTGCTTTGTTGTGACTTTGTGATGTCACAACAAAGCAGTCTCCAAGCCCCGCCCACCTGGACCCATCATCCAAACCTTTTGGATTTGGTTTCTCTAAGTGTTTTTACCTGAAATCTGGTATATTTTTATTGGATCAGTCAGAAAACAGTCAGCCAATCAGAAGAGAGGCTCAGAGCCTCTTTTTACCACCAATTTTAACTCTTGTTTTTCTTCTATTTCTATCACTGCTTTTCTTATACTGAATTAGCTTGCTAACTCGCTAGCTCCAGCCTCGTCACTGTAGTGTTGAGCCCGACCTGAAGACCCCCCCCCCCCCCCCCCATACCCTCTTTAAAGTCATGCATGTTGTTTTATGTGTTTGTACTTTCCTCTGCTCCTCAGGAGGAAGACCAACGACACAATGACGGTGCACACGATGTGTCATCATCCCGCTCTGCCACTAGAGGGCGTCGACCCCGGCCTGCTGCTCAACTTCACCTCCAGAGAGTGTCACATGGTCCCACAGCCGGCAGAGGACGGAGCCATGATGGTCTGTGGCTGCCAGGGAGAACACGAATGTAACGACAAACTGATCTTCAACAAGGGAGCCAACGGTGAGGGGGGGGGTGATGGATGGATGAGTCAATAGATGGATGGTTGGATAGATAGATAGATAGATAGATAGATAGATAGATGGCTGAATGGACGGATGAATAGATTACAGTATTTTCTCCCCGTTGCTTCAGGGTTCTTCAAGCTGCAGAGTAAAGACGTGATCCCGGTGGTCGTGGTTAGTTTGGTGCCTCCTCTCCTTGTTGCCATAGTTGCCACCGCCGCCTTCTATTTCTACCGCACACACCGCCCTGACAAACCTGGCCCTCCTGCACGCCCCAACTGGCCCACCAAACGCACCCCAGAGCTCTACCAGGCTTTGGACCTGCCATGTGGAGGCCGGGGGTCGGAGGGCAGAGGAGGAGGAGGAGGTGTGATGGCTCCTGGATCTCAGCTGGAGGAGTCTAATGCCAAGGTGTCATCTCTCAACAATGACATCAGTGACATCACAGATTGGCAAGGCCAATTGGCTGAACCGCTGCCCATCAAACTGGAAGCCCTGGTGGGGAAGGGGCGCTTCGCTGAAGTGTGGAGGGCGCGCCTGCTGCAGGGCGAGAAGGGCGGGGTTAACAGCTATGAAACTGTGGCAGTGAAGGTGTTTCCCGCTGTGGAGTACGCCTCGTGGAGAAATGAATGCTCCATCTTCTCCGACCCCAAACTGGAGCACGACAACGTGGTTCAGTTCCTGGCGGCTGAGGAGAGGGGTCTGCCCGGTCACACTCTCCGGAAGTACTGGCTGGTCTTGGCCTATTACAGCCTCGGCAACCTGCAGGACTTCCTCACAGCAAACATCCTGAGCTGGGAGGAGCTTGTTGTCATGGCAGGCAGCATCGCTAAAGGGTTAGCGCATCTCCACAGTGACACGACACCCGGCGGGATACCAAAGGTAAATCCAGGCGACAGTCTCTGGAAATCTGGGTTTTGCTGACCTTTTTTCAGCACGTCTCTTGATTTTTATTTTACATTTTATTCATTCACTTATATCTCGCCTGTTTCATGGTGAGCTGTGGAGCTTATTGACGGAGCTCATTGCTGGTTGCCTGTGTTGCTGTAGGTGCCAGTCGCCCATCGGGACCTGAAGAGCAGTAACATCGTGGTGAAGAGCAGGAAGGAGTGCGCTCTATGTGACTTTGGTCTGGCCTTGAGATTGGACCTCTCACTCACTGTCGATGACTACGCCAACAGTGGACAGGTAAGCTGCTCAGGTTTAGTTGGTCTGATTCTTCGTGATGTTCAGGTTGTCATTTGATTGGACTCACCTGTATCATCCCGTCCAGGTGGGAACAGCTCGCTACATGGCTCCCGAGGTACTAGAGTCCAGGGTGAACCTGGAGGACCTCGAGGCCTTTAAACAGATGGACGTTTACTCCATGGCTCTGGTCCTCTGGGAAATGGCCTCTCGCTGCCACGCAATCGGAGGTAAGAACTTTTTTGTTGTTTCTGAGCAATATTTTCATGACCACGTTTATAGTGCATGGCGCTCAGGTGTGAGGTTCATTCAGATGAAGCAGCACAAAGCGAGTTGTTGGTATTTGTTTCTCCAACATCAATCTGATCATCACTTCATCAGCAACTGAATACTTGACGTCAACGCACAGCAACAAGAAAATAATGCCTAAAATGAAATAGAACATTTTGATGAATCACTCTCCAGCCAGTAGATATGTTTAAATCGGATTAGGACATAAACTTTTAATTAGATTGAAGCATCAGTCTGAATCTGACTGATTCTTCTAGCTGTGTGAAAGAAAGATTAAATCTCTGCAGCACCTGAAGGCAGCAGGACTCCTGCTGATAAATCTGTTCACTCCGTTTACCTTCATTAAGTCACATTTCAGTGACCCTCTGTGTGAATCTAAACATGGGTGTGTATGTGAACATGTGTGTGTATGTGAACATAATGTGTGTATATGTGAACATAATGTGTGTGTATGTGAACATTTGTGTGTATGTGAACATAATGTGTGTGTATGTGAACATGTGTGTGTGTGTGTGTGTGTGTGTGTGTGTGTGTGTGTGTGTGTGTGTGTGTGTGTGTGTGTGTGTGTGTGTGTGTGTGTGTGTGAACATGTGTGTGTATGTGAACGTGTGTGAACATGTGTGTGTATGTGAACATGTGTGTGTATGTGAACATGTGTGTGTTGTGAACATAATGTGTGTGTATGTGAAAATGTGTGTGTATGTGAACATAATGTGTGTGTATGTGAACATGCGTGTGTATGTGAACATGTGTGTGTATGTGAACATGTGTGTGCATGTGAACATAATGTGTGTGTATGTGAACATGTGTGTGTATGTGAACATGTGTGTGTATGTAAACATAATGTGTGTATATGTGAACATAATGTGTGTGTATGTGAACATAATGTGTGTGTGTGAACATAATGTGTGTGCATGTGAACATAATGTGTGTGTATGTGAACATGTGTGTGTATGTGAACATGTGTGTATGTGAACATGTGTGTGCATGTGAACATAATGTGTGTATATGTGAACATAATGTGTGTGTATGTGCACATAATGTGTGTGCATGTGAACATAATGTGTGTGCATGTGAACATAATGTGTGTGCATGTGTGTGCTGGTGCAGAGGTGGAGAGCTACGAGCCGGCGTTTGGCTCTAAGGTCTGTGAGCAGCCCTGTGTGGACAGTATGAGAGACCTGGTGCTGAGGGACAGAGGACGTCCTGACATCCCCTCAGCCTGGACGCAGCATCAGGTCAGACACAGAAACAGCTGCTTTCTTTCCAAACACACAGAGGAACTGACCCCAAGTCAGAGATTCTTACCTGTAATGCATTTCAGGACGATGTCATCTCTCTCTCCGCTCTGATACCCCCACATGTTTCGTGTTAAGTACATTAAAAAGTTTTACATTAAATCATCAATAAATAAATTGTGTAAAATCTATAAATAAACCAATAAATTATTAAATAATTGAAGAAGTAATTAAAACATCTCATTATTATGGATTGATATTTCATTGTTTTCTAGTTTTTATTTCATGAATTTACTTCTCAGGACAGTGGTATAGTCACCACCCTCTCACTTTTGAGCCAATCACATGCTCCCAATCGATCACCAATTCCCAATTGATTGATCCATTGAAGGGCATTTGTTTCCTCTGGAAATCATGTTGTTGGGGCCCAGACTGGAGATGAGTTAGAGCCTTGTTTGAAGTGAAGCCTCAGGCAAATAAAACTTTGTCATCTGCGTAGAGATTGACACTGAAGTATTGATGAGGAAGAATTATGTTATTTGTGTATAATGTAAATAGTAAAGGTACCAGCACAGACTGCAGTTTATTAATGTGAATATTTATTTCATAATTACTTATTTTTTTGTTTAATATTGATCACTCTGGGGCTCCACTGGACACTGGCTGTTTTAACATCTTGTTGTCTAACTCCGGTCCTCTGTCCTCCAGGGGATGAGCATCTTCTGCTCCACCATCACTGAGTGCTGGGATCACGACCCGGAGGCCAGACTGACGGCTCACTGTGTGGTGGAGCGCTTCAACGCCCTGCAGCAGGAGCAGGAGCAGGAGCAGGAGCAGGAGCAGGAGCAGGAGCAGGACCAGGACCAGGACCAGGTCCAGGACCAGGACCAAGACCAGGACCAGGAACTGAGACCAGAAGTTGGCAGACCGGAGGACGAAGAAAGAGCAAAGAACTCGGAGAAACCAGACAATGACCAGGTTCACTCCTCCTCCACTGCTGCTTCCTCACCCTCCTCCTCTTCCTCCCCCCAGGTTCCTAAGCCACAGAGAGACGGTACAGAGGTATCCCATGATTCTCCGGTTCACACTGGTACTGGTTGTGACCTGTTACTGTAACTGGCCTGAAGCAGCCGATAGTGACGGGACTGAGAAGTAACTAAAAACTGATTCTGTAGTAATTTACATGAGTCTATAAAAACATGGTGGTGTCATGGTTGTGGTCCGGCTGTAGGGGGGGAATTGTCGGTACTTCCATCACTTCGTTCCAGACTCAAATATCAACAACAACCATCAGATGGATTTCCATAAAACTTTGCACAAACATTCGTTTTCCTCAGAGGATAAATTCTACTGACTTTGTTCATCCTCTGACTTCTCCTCTAGCGCCACCAGCAGGTTTATATTTTAGGTCCAGACTGAAATATCACAACAACTGTTAGATGGATTGTGACTTTTCCTCTAGCGCCATCATCTGGTTAAAAATTCTAATTGCAGAACTGATGACACTCCCATCAGCTAAACTAAGATGGTGAACAGGGTCAACATTGATATTTTAGCATTGTCATTGATTGTAACCTGTTAGCATTCAGCTCAAAGCACAACTTAGTGTAGGTATGGTCGTACAGAGCCGTTAGCATGTCGACTTTTAGTCTGGTTATTTACCAGATTTCTGATTTCTACATCTCAGCAGTTTTGTTGTTTTCCCAGCTTCATGACAATAACCAGAATAAAGGGAAATGCACGTCTCCAGAACATGATGTTTGACGCCAATGATCACATTTCTCAGCAGTGATGATCCTCAACTCTCCAGAGAAACATTTTGAGCAACCAGGTTATGATTCCTTTCTCCTGTAAGATGATTTCTAATGCAGACACCTGATTAACCAGGATATAACAAGGTCTGACTCACCGGATATAGGCTGTGGGTATAAACCTGCAAATTTGCCCCTGTTTCAGGTGGCATTCTCCTCCTGTTCCTCTTCCCCTGCCTGTCACCGTTTTCTAAATCCTCTTCGCTACAGAGAACAGCAACAACCTCAGAGCTTCAGCCTGCACGCTGAAAATGGCCAGTTTTGATGAAGATCGGAATTCTACAATCAGCTCATTGGAATCCGCCATTTTAATGACGTTTTTCGTGTCCCTACGTGCTAACATTCCTACAAAACAAGTTTCCCTCCGACAGTATTTTGCAGCGGCACCAGAAATACAAACAAACCAGTGTTTTTAACCCTATAGCAGAATGCTAATGGGTGCAGACCATTCTCCAGTGCTAACACAGCTCTGTGGAGAGAGGTCTGACTGTGTGAGGCTACCATGCATTTAAACATGTTCTGTCATTACCTGTATAACCTGGTTTCTCTGAGGAACCTGGCTTCTGCATTCAGGCGCAGCGGCGATGCTAACATTCTCAAACTTTGACTCGATGATGGCACTCGAGGAAAAGTCAGAGGGTCAGTGAAGTTATCACAGTTCAGCCTGAGGGGAACATGAACGTCTGAACCACATTTCGTCACCATCATCCAGCAGCTGCTGAGATGTTTCAGTGTGGACCGACCTGCCGCTAACATGAAGAGATAAAGTCTGAAATGACTGAAAAGACTCACAGTACGATGGATGTTCTCTCTTTGGGACGTCCTGGACTCTTCACCTGAAGTCCAGAAAGGACAGAAGTGACTGGTGGACTCAGCTGTGATCTTCTCCTAGTCGTAGCTCTGCTGGTACAGACCAACACTCACACTGTTGTTGTGTGGAAACGTTTCATTTTGTCGGAGCTGGTCTCCATTTTGTTTTGTTGTGACTGTGATTATTGTTACTATAACCTTCCTGTATGAACTGTCTGCCTGTGGACGGTGGTTGTGTCTGATTAAAAAACAAATTACAGTGAAGAATTGGTCTGATTTTCCACTTTCAATCACAAACCTCTGCCAAAGATTTAATTATATATCTGATTATTAATTACAGGCTACAGAATTATGTGTGATGTTTTTATTTCTGAGATGTAAGAAATCTTCCAGTGTCCAGATCATTTGTAAATTCAGCCACTAAAAAGACTTTTCTATCAACATGAAACACAAATACTCAAAGTCACTACAGTCTCCAAATGATGTTGTTTGTTTTGTAATAAAGTTTGTTTTCTGTAATTAATTACTAAGTATGGATTCTGTCTATGAACACATTTCCATCTATTGTTACATATTTTCACTTTTTCCATCATGTTCTTCACATGGTTTCATCGTCTGAGCTTTGACTGGATCTTCTTCTTCTTCAGTGGTTTAATGGCTCATGGTCGACTCATGGTCACAAAGCAGCAGAAGAGGAAACAAGACTGAAGTCAGATTTTACTTTGATGCTTACCTGGAAATTCAGACTCACAGAAGGATGGTTTAAAATAAAAGATCAGAGTCGGAGCAGCCGAATTAGAGATGTCATATTTTTATTACCCATGATGCACCTGAACCTCCCTACAACACCTGGAAACACCTGGTAAGCAGGAAAGCTGTGGAGGTCCCCTCTAATCTCCTGTAAACTGCTGTTTAATTTCCTGTCAGTCAGATTTCAGCACACTGTAAAAAAAAATCGTAAAAGAACAGTCAAATGACTGTCAGCAGCAGCTGCCAAACAAAAACTGTAAAATTACAGTAAAATGTCCTAATTCAAATAGTGTAAAAACAA